AAAAAACAGAGAAGACGACTACTCACCAAATCGGGGGTGGGAAGAAAACAAAGATTTGTACATTTCTGATCAATTTTTGTACAGTTTGTCAGCTGGGTGACAAACCAAGGTACTGGGGATCTTACAGAGTCAGTACACCTAAATTCTGCTGGGGTGGGAGGTATATGGATCACCATCTCTATAAACTCTCCTGGACAGAGTTAATGACTTCCATCTCCAACAAAACCCAGTCAAGTGGTGTGAAAGCCTCCATGCAGGACACACTGAAAAAAACACAGAATATGACTGTTTGAATTCACAACTAAATGCAGAACACCTCTGTCTCTGCAGATGCACAATCAGCAGATGTAAACTGATGTACCACCACTGATTTTAGTAGTAGTATTGCAAACTCACTGCCCCCATTTATCTTTATTGGACTTCAATGAAAAGAGCAATGTGTCAAGATTTCTGGCTCTTGGTAGAGACAAAATGAAAAAAGAGAAGAGAGAGCTTTAGGTATTAGATAACAGCACTTAGCCAACACAGTAATAAACACTATATGGAAAACTTACAAAAGTCTCTAACACTTATGGGGGAGTGTATCCTAAAGAGTCTGTAAATAACTTAGCAGTGGCATAGACCTGAACTGCACTGTACTCTCTTTGCTCAACTTAATGGAGTTGATGCTAAGGCATTAAGACTGACTGTCATCATATTTTGCCTAATATTTTCATAAATGTTGCAGAATGAGGCCTAGATTTTTTCAAAATCATTCATAAAATTGACATGAATTACTAAGAAAGTTTTTCCTGAAAAAAAAAACAATGTATTTTCCTTAAATAACCCTAAAACTATAACTGAACAGTCCTCTTTCAGTGTACAAAAAGCAGTTTCAAATGGCTGGAAAACACAGCAAGGTGAGTTGCAGAATAGAAAAATAACCGTCCTATAAAAGCTGACCTTAATGTTTCCATGTATTTGACTTTGATAATTTCAAGTATGTCTTATTCTCCTAACACTCATTTAGAAGCAAATGTTGAAAAATTTCTGTTACAAAATTTATCACTTGATCTTGAGGACTATCTCTAAGGTATTCTTTTTTATTTTAATATTTTATGTTATTATGTTTTGCAGTAACTGAGCTGGGCAACAAACTGTATGCAAATACTTATTCTCTTTTTCTGCATAGGGCTTTCCTAAAGATTGACTATTTTTTCCAACATTCCAAGATATTACTGCTTCCTACACCCCTTGCTGTTCTTGCACCCTGACACCATCACAGCTACCAGACTATCAGTTCATCAAAATTACTAACATTAGAAGCAGCAAATGAAGACAGATAGCAAAGTTAAAATCATGTAGTTACAATGCATTTCTTATATTGTACATTCCCGTAGTGGAAATGCACTGCTGACACAAGAGTATCTGAGCAGACAATGGAGTATTTCACTTACAACTTTATAGTCAAGAATAGCTACAAGAAACATTATAATGCTTTCACAGGTGGAGGCTACAAGTGCTTCTGCTAATTCTTAATGCCTTTCTAAACTGAAATATAAATTAACATATTGTTGTCAGTATGCTAAGTTTCTGTTTCACCAAGACTGATCATTTCTAGCTGTGTCTGATCCACGGGTAGACAACACTGGGTAATGCTGTTATGCTCATCTGTGGCCTCAGCAGGAGGTGCTGTTTGTCTATGGTGTCTAGAGGTTAATTTTTAGAAGACATACTGGCATTATTTCTCTGTCAGGCTCCATGACATCTCATAGTCCATCACAAGCCACTGAGAAGCATTCCTGTACTAGCTGTGGTAAGCCTTACAATAATTGCTGCTGTCTCTATTGTCCTGTTCAAGTTATTTCTCTTTCTCAGCTTTCCTGCTCTGATGGTGGATGGTGACATTGCAAACATTATCTGGATGAGGTGATGTTAAAATATGGTTCGTGGTTAATTAGAAATGTATGGGGTCTTCAATTCAAACTCAGGTCACGGTCACTCATCTATCACTCACTGTATCTGCACTGTTTCTATGTACCTAGGAAGGTGTCCCATACTGCCGGTAATTCACCTATGATAACATGAGTTGTTCATAAACATTTAGTGTTGCGTTACTAGGTCTAATAGTTGCACAATCTCTGACTGTACATCACTGATCCACATTACTTAATGGATAACTCAAGGTTATGATGACTAAAACATGCATACAAGGACATGGCTGTAGTGCCCTGCTCTCTTTAAAAAAAAATGCATATTATTGAGGTTCTGTCACTCTATTTTTGCTCAAGGTCTGCTTGCTTTAATTCAGTATGTACAATAAAGTACATTAGACTTTACTCAGAGTTAAAGTTTCCCTAAAGTTGTTATCAGTCTTACTTAAGTCAGTTGTAAGGTTTGGATCGTGTTTGTTTTAACACAGTATTTTAACTACTTTCATCTGAAGCCTTGCATCAATAAAATCTCTTAAGGACTTGTTTTTCTCTCTGTGTGATCAGAAACACTGTGGACAGGTGGATCTTGTTTGCTTTGGCCAGCATCAAGGTATAAGGAAGAAATATCGATGTGTGAAGAGCAGGCTTTTCCAGCTCAGAAAAGGGTGGGGTTCATTAGGATACCATCTGGAGTAGCTTTTGAGGTGGATTACATATAAATTAATCTGATTCTTCTCCTCTGGCATATCTGCCCCAGAGTTAGTAAGCACTCCTGTTCTTTCAGAAACTCAAATTTTGTCCCATAAGGAAAATGTAGGGGAGATCTTTTTTTTTTTTTTTTCCCAAAGATGAGATAATGATATCTCTTTTCTAACTCCCACCTAGCAGGTAGGAAAGTGCATAGCTGGTTAACTTTCCATTAATTCAACAGAAACTGCTCTAGATGAATTGCCCTGGTCATTCATTACCTCTCTGCTTCTGTATTCTGAATGCTTCTGTAATTTGCATCATTTGAAATTGGCCTTTATTACAAAAACTCATCTTTCCTAAAGCTGACCTTCATCTAGTCACTATGACCACCAAGTTCCTCAGCTGAAGATCTGGTGGCTTTTTGTACTCTTTGAACAAGTATTATCCTTACCTAAAAGCAGGGTTCACAGTTCTTGCGCATTAAAATGATGGAGCTATTCTGAGACTGCTGCAACAGTCCGTGTAGCTTCATCCTCTGCTTGGTTAACTTCTTGCCTTATCATCAGAAATGAGAAAAGGATTAATAAATTCCTCAGTGGTTCATTTTATGGTACCCTCATTACCATCTCAGGGAGAGGAAAGTTGTGCAACAAATCTTGCAAATCTACAGGTCAAGTGTTCTTCAAATTTGAAGTTAGTATAATTTTCAAAGAATCCTGGACTTCTGCATCCCTAATGGTGAGGTTTGAGAGTCCTTTTCCGATAACCTACAAGTTATGTAACTAGCAATATCAATTGTATCCTACCCGTTTCCAGCTCTGACAACCTAAGTCAGCTCTGCATGTATCTGGGAATTACTCCACACTTCAAAAATGCCAGCAAGCAATATGTGAGAGATTTTTTATGTTCACAGCTTGAATAGTGACAAGGGAGAAGAACATGGCACAAAATCTACCCTTGAATGAAATAAAACTATTTATTTAAAATTTAGTTATCTCTCCAGGGGCCCAATTTCATTAACACTAATGAACTCTGACTCCACAGTTACAGATATTTTTTGGAAGTTTAACCTGATAGGAGAAAGATAAACCTTGTAATAATAAACTGAATGTCTACAATTCTGTTCAGTGCAGGTCTCCCAACTATATTCTTTTTCAGTTTCAGAAAGATTTTCATAAATTATGTGTCCATTCGGAGTACATGAAATATTCAGGATTTAGAGTACCAGCAACCTGCAAAGTATTTGTTTGTTTCAAGAGTGCCGCAGATCCATCTATGAGGCATTTATCTCTAAAATGTCCACAGATTCTTCTTTTTTTGTGGATTAGCATGTAAAGCTGTTGATTCCCACCAGTACAAAAAGATGTTAATCAAGTGATTTGACTGCAACAACAAAAGCAAAAGTCAAATTTTGTTCACATGCCACTCCAGTAGCAGTTCCTCTTTTTTTTTTATTTTTTTTGTCTTTTTTTTCCATGTGTGCAATTCTGGGCCAGGTAATAAAAGCGTACTTTGCCCGAAGGGCAGCCCATGGGGAGGTAGAGGTGAGCAGCTGGGTGTGGGAGAAGGCGGTGCAGCGTGGGGTGAGAGGGCAGCAGGAGACAGCAGCCTTCCCCCCACTCAGGGCTCCCTCTTTCGTCCAGCCATACCCCGCTGGAGCCAAGGCCTGAGCTGTCTCATGGAGCAACCAAGACTAGAACAGAAAGATATCAGAGGGACCTCCTCTGGGGGTAGAGAGGGACAAAGCAGGGTTAAGCAGCATCAGGGAGAATTGTGTTTTCAAGTTAAAAACCACTTTAGGATATTTTTCAGTACTGGAGTTTACAAGTCAGGGTAGCTCTGGCCTTTCTCAGAACATTTCCTTGAGCTCTCCCAGGGCTGATGGCTGAGTGAGCAGCCCTGGGGATGGATGGGGAAGCTCGACCATGGGGACCAGCCCCAGGGCAAAGCTCCTGGCTGCTCTGCTGCAGAGACACTTTCCACCATATCTGCCTGGCTGTGCTGTCCCCAGTGCAAACCAACAGACCTGCATGGTCAACAGGATGACACTGCAGACCTTCTTCACCAGCATGCTTGGTCTCATTTGCCTTTCCCAAACTTTTGCCCATTATGGGCAAGACCAGGGGCTCCTGGAGTGCACCAGGCTGGCTCGGGAAGTAGGGTCAGCTCCCACCCTTCAGCGTGGCCATCTGCATCTTGAAATTCTGGACCACATGCACACTACACACCCAACAGTCCTGTGGGATTAGTACTGCCACAGGTCAGCCATAACATCTCTTGGCCAAAACTTTTCTGTTCGATGAAAGACTGGTCTGGGTTACAACCACAGCTCAGGTGAGAAAAGGCCTTGCCTGTCTTGAATAGCTTGCTCCCAATCAGTACAGTCCCTCCCCTCAGTACAAGCTCAGCTGTTTTATTTCAAGGATGAAAAAAGTCCTGGAACAAGCCTCCAAAGTTGTGTGCTGAAAAGCAGTAGCACATGGGAAAACAGAAATCATGTGATTTCAACAACTCCTGGATAACATACATTGGTGTGCATGGGGTGGGAAGCCACAGAGTGTTTCATATGTGCCACATGTAGCACAGCTCAGGCTTAAGTATGGTGCAGACTGTAAGCCAGTGATGTGAAGGGAAGTAGACGCAAAAGGATAAGCATATGCAATGGGATAAACATTGAAACAGAGACCACTCCAAGCCATATGTGGTACAAATGAGGCCCATTTGCTGCAGAACATGATAGAAATCAGGCCCAGGACTGACAAATTTTACGTATCATTGCTAGAGGTTCCAAATAATGCCCTTTTCTCACACTACATGGTAAAATATGTTTCAGGTACTAAAACATTGCCTATTCCCTACGTTTTTGCAGTTTTGAAGAATTTTTCCAAATGCCCAGGAGAAGGTATTGGCACACTATGTTTATGTGGTATGATCTGAAATGCATTGGACCCAGTACCTGTCTGCCATGCACAGTACAGTGCAAGCTCAGAGGGACTGCAAAACTGAAGGTGCTTTATGGAGCTCAGACAAACTCAGTGTCTGTGTGGGTTGTGGAAGACCACTTTCTCTAAGGCTGCACCTAAAACCATTTCAAATCTGGTTTTCTCTTCATTGTACAGTCCTTTGGTCAGAATGGGGCCAAGGCCCATTGAGCATTAGGGAAGCCCTACTGATTGGTGTGTTAGGCTGAGAAACATGGACACTTAGTGCTTACACAGTCTGACAAACAGGAAGGGCAAAAGGGACAGAAAGGCTTCCTTGGAGAAGATTTGTTCTGCAGCAAACTGGCAAACTTTACATTTCAAACATTTCAGTATCAGTCTTCTTTCTAATGTGATCCTGGCATGATATCTTTGGGAGAAAAATGATTTCTAATAAAAGATTTCATGTGACAGAGAATTCATACTATAAAATAATTTCACTATCTCGAGCACTATTAAAAAAGGTATGCACAGCAGAGTGATCACATTGCTTTCTCCTAAATAAACACAACTGCTATGGCTGCTGAGCAGAAGTCCAAGATTGAGGAACAAGAATGATACAGGATAACTTCCACAGCTCATGAGGAGATGGATCCCAGTAGGAAATCCCCCTCCTGTGTACGGTTATGTTATGGGGAGTTTCGCAGAGGATGCGGCAGATCCTTTTCATAAAGCCTTCCAAAAAGCGTCGCTGTTACGAGCGGTTTTGATGTGCTGTGTTTACTTTTCAAACGTCCATCACGTAGCACCTAGTTGAAAAGAGAAAGAATAACATTAGTAGTCCACTATCAGCATAGAAATATTTCATAGTACAGAAAGGATAGGCCTTAGCTGTTGAATACTTTGATGTAGCGCTTTTAAAAGACAATTATGAGAATGAAAGAAACCAGAATTCTCTCTGATTCTGCCATAGCCTTCCCACATTTCCTGGAACCTGAAGGTCTTTAAAACTTCCTCCAGATCAATCTTTGGAAAAAAAGGATAATTTTCTCCACCTCATGAGAAGGTGAGAATAATTGATTTGTTAGGTTCTCATTAGATATTCATACATGGTGATGCAGGTTATATACATATCTAGGATGGTAATTTGAAATCTTTTTGGATTTGTAGATCCCCAGAAATTTCCAGATGGAAGTAGAGAATTTCAAACTACTGGATATATCTTGACTTTCTTAGTTATTTTTTACAGATCAGTTTGAAATCACTGTTGCTCATAGACTGTGAACACCTGCAACTTTTTAAGAGCCTCTGTGACAAACAATAAGCATGTATTTGTTAAGAAAATAAAAAATATTTTTTTAAAATTAGACCATGATCATATTTTAGCATACAAATAAATCCTTTGATGTGTATGTTTTTACAGAAATCCCATTCAAAATAAATACGCAGATGAGCAATGTTTTTCCATCTTGTAAAAAAATAACCCTTGATTTCCCTAAAACTTTACAAGTCTTTTTCACTGTCTTCATTGTCTCTTGTAAACGATTAAATAGCTCTTCCAAATCAAGTAAGATATCATTTAGCCTCTTACGTAAACATAATCTAAGCTTTATGAATGAAAGCATGCTTTGGCAAAAACATATGATGAAGTTTCAAATGAAAAAATTAAAACCAACAAAACCCTCAAAAATCCCTTTTAACATTTTAAACTGCATAGAATCTCTGCTCTTACGCATGATACTCATTAGTAATTTTTCTTGCCTGGACAGTTTCTCAGAATAATTGATTTCTTTGTCTCCTAAAATGCCCATTAGCAGAAACTGTAGAAAATAGGTCCTTGAAAGCTGCTATTTATAGATTTGGAATTTGAAGGGGGAAGGCATATTTGCTAAAGAAAACACTGAAGAGATCCTTAGCCTTAACATTTATATCTTCTCATCAGTAACTATTAATTCAATCCATCCATTTAAATGTCCCCTTGAGTTACAGTCCACAGAACCAAAGAAAGTAGTTATTGGATGGGACTTTGCTGCCATTTTGGTTTCCAGAACCACAGGCTGAAAAACCTTGCGTGAAACAGCTCCGGGGTGTTGCATTACCTGGAACTCCCCCGGGGCCAGCTGCACCCCGCTGTACAAGACTTCTGGGAAGACGTAGTTGGTGCCAAATGTGCCGCTGAGGGAGAACACCTCAAACTTGGTCTGAGCCGTCTCCACCGGCTGCCCACACGTGTCCAGGTCTGTGCTCTTGCACTTGAGCAGCGTGCATATCTGCAGGGAGGAGAAGGATGCAGAAAGGCAAAATAGTACTAAGCTTTCAACAATCAAGAGCTGTATCTGATAGCAAGAAAAGTTGTCATGAGGCAGTAATGGACAAGTGTTTTGGGGTGGCCGGGATGTAGGCATATACCACCCACACTCACCTCTAAAAAATCAATTACCTGCCAGTGGTATTTTATGAGAGAACCATGAAGCCCATCAAATGCACCCAGGACATAAACTTCGTCTTTGCTCTTGTTTGACATCCGATAGACCAAATGACAGCAGAGGTCTCCTTGGCAAACTGTGCAATTTCCAGCTTTGCGCCTGAGTTCACTGAAAGTGAATATATCCCGTCGGACAGCTCCAGAAAAAGTGTCTTTTTCTTCTGGAAATTTCTTGATGCTTGTGGCATACAAGCTCCAGTTGACAGCGGGGGGGGTAGGTGGGGGAAAGACGGGGATGTGCACTCAGCTCTGCTAGCAGGAGACGTCCCTCCTCAGTCCCACTGTCGTAATGGTAGGCAGCAGGTCCCTCCGGCGTGAACAGCCCGCTGCCTGCCAGAGACACCACCAGCCCCTCTGTCAGCCCCCACCCCGCAGCACGGCTCAGCAGGGCCCGGCCGCCCCCCGTGTCACGCCGGTGGATTTTTTCAGTGGTTCTACTTTCAGTCAACACATTAAGGAGAATTTTGGAAGAACCTTAAAGAGCAGAACCACTAAAATACCCATTCTAACGTAAAAACATGACTTAACTTTACAGGTTTTGTGCTTCACTGGGCCTTGAATATGAGCCTTAAATGGCAATTTGACACAGGACCTTCCCTTTTTTTTCCTCAGAACTTAGGTTCATTTAACTATAAATCAGAGGCCTAAAGGTGGCATATTTACCGAAGAAGAAAACCATAGGGATAACTCTGTCTCATGGAGGGAAACTGAGGGCTGTGGCCTAAACTCAGCTCAGTCTATTTAGGGCAGGCAGAAATGTTTCTTTGTGACTTTCACTTCAGCTTCAGGGAAAAGTTAGAGGTGCAGCTACAGCAACATTTCATCAGTTGACAGAAAAAAAAAAGGAAGTAAATATCTATTCAGCTCAAACCAAAACATAAATATCTCTAATTCTGCAGCAGCCACAAAAACCTGAAAGTGTTTTATTCAATATACAAGAGGAATCCTTCTTTTGGTTTTAGGTTATTAAATTCTGTTTAAAACATTTTTTTCTCCATTTAACTGTTGATTGAATTTTAAATGAGAAATGCTGTCTCTAAACGAGAGGCTGAAAATTTAAGTGAAACTTTGTGCTATTATTGAAACAAAATTTCATTTTTAAATTATCAAAACTTAATGTCCCAGACTTTCTAATTTTACCTCTCCCAGAACATTCAACTTTTTTTTTGCCTGAAGCTGTTTACTACATTCAATACAACATCAAGAAGATTTTTAGTCTGATGGAAACACTATTTTCCAGAGACTTCACTATTTGTAAAATATTTCTGCTTGTTTGTGAATCCAGTACTCTGAAGGCAATTTCCCTTTTCCCAAATGCAACTCACCTGTCATTGCCAAGCTGATGTTGTGAGTATTTGCTGAAAGTAAATTGACACCCATGCCCATAGCCCAGGCAGAGTGAAACTCAACCGCAGTCAGAAACGGCAGGACGTTCATCCAAGCCGTTGGGAAGAGCACGGTGTCCACCTGCAACTCTCTCACCAGGACCACGGCAGGCTCATGGAAAAGGATGTCAAAGCAAGTGAAAATGCCAAACTTTCCAAAGGGGGTCTCAAAGGTGACAGCTTCTGGTTCTTTTGGGTAATTAAACTGAGTTTCTCTTCTAAAGAGGTTGTACTGCAGGTGAAGAAAATGGCATAATAGAAACCAAAAATAAGGCAAGATTATGAACAACTACTTTTGTGTCTGAGATAGGCTTTAGGCAAAGCTAGGGGTTGAGATGCCTTAGTTGGCTGGTACAGTGGATTTGCATCCACACAGCTGACTCTCTCCCCCTGCAAAACAGGGTGGTTGTGCCCCAGCTGCCTCCTGGAAGCAGTGCCCAGCCAATGTTAACTTCTACACCCTGCCCAGGTGTCACCTGCAAAAGCACTCTCTGACTTGGCTAAAACTGTGCCGAGGACCAGCTAGCATTTACTGAGTATGGAAAACTCCGTCACTGCTTCTTTCCCATTTACTATCATAAATGTAGCCCTTAAGTGTCCGGTATCAGGCATGCACTCTGCAGCTGCTGTGCTCCTGGGAATAATGCCTGATCGATCAAGCACCTGCTTGCTGTTCCCTCTGACCATAAGATCCTTGTATCAGATCATCCTGGATTGGTTGTCGCTCTATAATAATGTAAAATTACTGTATAAACCAGCTGAGATTGGTGCCAGAGAGATGAAAAACATACTGATAATCAATTACAGGTTGATGCTGAAGCAACTCCTTACTTTGTGGTAACGAGCCACCAGTTTCCCCTCTGGGTCAAAGACGACGTCGGTATTGTACTGATAGCGACCGTCGCTGGGGCAGCCGGGATCACTGGAGTTACATGGCTTCTTGTCCCCGATGTTTGCAACCACATAGATGGAGCTATTCCTGGCCATGCAGCTGAGTCGTTCCTGCACTGGTGCTGGAGTAAACCTAATGCATTTTTGGTGAATGAAAAATAACAAAAAATGTTACAAGTTTAAGTTCAGATGCAGAAGAAATGCATTCAAACTTACTATTACACTAACTGCATAACCCCAGGCACTGAAAAAGGGGTAGATCGAATACAAATTTCTGTTCATTTTCTTCTCTGTTCATAGCATGATTTTATATTGCTGGTCTCTTAGCTTTGAAAAATGGTGTCCCTGTGTTCTTCTTTCCCGTACCCTTAAAAATGTTATTTTCTGTGTGGATATAATTCCCAGCTAACACACATACAAAGATATGGACAGCTTCAGAAAACAAGAGAGAGTATAAATCAGTATACAGACATAAACTTAAAATCACCTAAAAATAAATTTTCAGGCAGATCTAAGCCTTGATTTCAAAAGGCCATTTTAGACTTCTTAAGGACTCTTCACTCTGTTTAAAGCAGCTGCCCATAAGCCTTTAGTAAAAAGTGTACACGGCATTTACAGAGCTGAGAAGTCCCTAATTCTATCTTCTTAAAGCCTCAGAAGAGAAGAATACAAAAGCTTAGCTTAGACATGAACTTGGTCCCCTTGGTGTCCCCTGCTGACACACATTCAGAGCAGCCCTGTGTAACACGGCAGATTGTGCAAGCGGTTGGATTTCTAAAAGACACTTCTTTCAGATCTAGACAAATATTTTGTGCAATTTGATTTAAAAATCACCCAGCAACATGACCTGAGAGCTGAATCACCTTGTCTAATCTATGCATCTGACATTACAATATACTAGCTTACCTTAAGAGAAGATTTTCACAATTAGTCTGTAGTGATAAAGTTTTACATGTTTTAAAAATAGTGATTTTGGCTAAAATTTCCTCAATTTCCTCCTTTTGTAATTTTTATAGTCAGACTGTCTCAATGCTTTTTACTTTGTATATTCCCATTACCTTTTAATTAAGAGTTCTTTTTAATGCATCTAATTTCTACAGTACTTGGGATTTTTAATAGATTCAGAAAAATAGCAGTTCTTAGGCATTTACTGGGAGCAGCTCATGACCCTGGGAGACACTAGTCTGAAACCACATAAATCGCTGAAGAAGAAAAATCACCTTGTGGGGTCGGTGCAGGGAATCCAGTTCACTGCTGGATCAGGGATATCCTCCAGGTACGGGTAGATGGTTTCCCTCGTGAAACGCCAGCCATAAATGCCGTCTTCAGGAGTCACAATGATGTGGGCGCCCTGACACAACAGGCTCCGTTAAGAATTCACCCATCAGCAGATAACCAGGAGGGTCAGCGGGAGGAGAAAACAGTAATTAACAACACTCACGCTACACCCAGTACCTGCTGGGCAGCTTCCTTGATGGCCCCTTCCAAGACATCCATGTTTTTGTTCATCAGGGCCAAAGCGTCCTCAGGAGAAACAGGCTCATCGGTGGCATCTGGCAGGATGACGGCGTGCTCGTAGACGGCAGCAGTGAAGGTGTCGGAGGCAAAGGCCTGAAGGACCGTGAGGGCAAACACTGCAGCGCGCAGGAGAGGCCGGGAGGGGAGCATGGCTGGTGCCTCGCGTCTCCTGGATTTAGCATGGAGAATATAAACCGGATAGAAAGAGGAGGAGTAAAGACTAATAAGTTTGCTTTGGGAATAATCTTCTATTGAGTAATCTGGGAAGGTACAGTGTAGTTCTGCCAACCATCAGGACAGTTATTTATAGTAAGAAGTCATAGAAACATCTCTAGGATTTGGATCTTGTTTCCAGGTTGAAATGCTGTAAATAAAAGGTGAACAAAAGGCTAAAGAAGCATGTCAGAAGCAGTTCTGATCTACAAGGGGCTCTGTGGAAGGAACAGTTGCACAGTCCATTCTTACATCCCTCTCCAGCCTTCCAAACCCATCTCAGGGCAAGTCCAGACTCCCCTGGCTAGGGCACACTACTCCATATAACCTTACCGTGCATGGCTGCCATCAGTTAATAATTCAGTCAGTGCTGAAGGCAGAATACCTGTGTGAAGTATAGCTCCTGTGCTTCACAGTGTAGCTGATTCATCTACATTTAGGAGACACGTGGTTCTGCCATGCCTCCTGCCTTTGGCCAATGGCTTATTACAGTTGTAGCAGGTGCCCTGAGAGTGTCCTCCCTCCTGCGCTCATACTGCAATAGAAACTAACCCTTGAACTGTGCTGGTCTCTGCCTAGAGCTAACATACTCGCTTGTTTTGTGAGAAATAATTAAACATGGTTTTTTTACTATTTCTGTCACAAAAGGCATTTTTTGAACAATAAGCAATTTGAAATTACTCATACAAAGCAGGTTTTTTTTCCTCACAGACAGCAATTTTTGCATAGTATTTTAGAAATACAATATTACTACTATAGTTTCAGCTGCTTCATAAAGAGACCTTTGTTAGAACTTCCAGTATGTCTGTTAGGGTAGAGGAACATAACCTGGCTAATCATTTACCACTCAGCAAGAAACCAAGGAAAAAGTTCTTCATCCTGACAATATCTTTCTCTTCACTACATAGTTTCACCCAGAAGTCTTATTTCTGTCCATAAGCACCAAGGCCTTTTCAGGAGAAACTGGCACTTTGGTGTACTCCGACAAGACCATGCTGTGCTCATAGATGGCTGAGACGTAGCTGCCCAGGGCCGCCAGCACCAGAAGCACGACAGAGGCACAAGATTTAGGAAGCCCCATGTCCAGAGCCTGGAAGTCGCCCAAGAGAAGGCCAGGGGCACACAAAGGCAGGAGGCTTTAAAAAGAAAGTCTTGAACAAAACTTGGGAATTCCTCAGAGTGGCAGAAAGCCGACACCAGGATACGCAGTCACCCTGCCCGGAAAGTCTTGCAACATCAAAGGCAGGAGTGGTGCTGGCATTGAGCAATTCTGCCTTACACCACCGACAGAGAAGTCACCACTGTGCTGCAGCTGAAGAAACATGTCACTTGCCAGATTTATAAAGTTCAGGCAGGCGTGGCATTGCTGTAGTAATGCAGTTCAAGGCAAGCTCAGGTCACAGCAAGAAAACAAGTCCGAGTTTGGGAAATCTCAAACAAAAACCAGCATGGACACATTCCTGCCCAAACTCGAGGGCGTGGATGCAGGCAGGGCTCCAGCTCAGCACGGCACAGCACCAGTTGTGGGGCCTCTGAGGGCTGTTCCACATTGCATGGGAGCTGCCAGACAGGTTGTTTGAGCAAACCCATCAGCACACTGCTCAGTAACTGAGCTCTGAAGATCTCTGGTCCCCAAAGGTCTTTATTGGAAGAGCATCATGAATGGGAGCCACAATTACCAAATTTTCTTTCTTATGCCTACAGATCACTCCAGCAGAAACCTTGAAGCTAAAGATGCACAGGCACAAAAATCACTTTTATCTGGTTGCCCAAATTTCTTACCTTCTTTGGTTCTGACTCAGCTGTGAGGTAACAAAACACTTTTTTGCTGCACTTCCCTCTAAGAAGTGTTTATTGTTATTGGTGGTTACATGTAGCCTTGTCTTTATATAGACTGAGCTGGTGTGTGGATAATGGGTAGATTTGCATAGAATTTCTTTCCATATGCTTGACTCACTTCCCACAATAACACATTTCACAACGATAAATGTTATGCAATCTTTGTAGCAAAAAGAATTTAGTGCCATTATGGCTCATGGCAGTCTTCTATAGGAAAATACTGAACACACAAATATACCTAAACCAAACCACAATGGCCTTGAACCAAATCCTGAATTCAAGATACTCACCAGATTCAGAGCTGGGACCATATACTACTGTCACACACATTCCCTTAGCCAGAGGACTGGTATTATCAGTGAACAAACCTGAAGAGGCTGCTCTCGGCTCCAAGACTGGCCATGCACTGCCACTGAATCACTTCTGTATTGCAAGATGAGACCTTCTTGTGTGCCACAGCCTCCCTTAAATCCAGATCCTTTCCCTGGGAGAGAGTTGTAGTATCACCCACAAGGTTCCTGGGGGACAAGTAGTCTCTGCAGTGAGTTTGTACCCATGGGAAGAGGATCACACTGGATAACCCTTGCTGGACTGAGATCAGCCTGTGGTCAGACAGTAACTAACTAAAACAGTGAGCAAGGTTTTAAGAGAGCGTGGCTCTAGCAGCAGTGATGTTGAGCTTCCATGAGTCAGAGTACATTGTCTGGAGCTTTTGATAAACAATGTCATTGAGTTAGACATGACACTATGTTATGTCACATGTGATTATCTATTTACATTTGAAAGCAGAAAAGGTCATATGGTGCACAGCAGTGATAATCAGTGCTGGAGTTTGGATTAGGTATTTGCACTCCCAACATCTCACCAGCTCCATAACAGAAGTATATGGGACTGAGGACCTTGAAAGCACCATGCAGAGACCAGGAATGGTGCCACTGTGGGGAAAAGGAAAGAGAAATTAGACTAATAGGGGTCTATGAACACTCTTAAAGACACGGCCACAGAACATGAACATCTTTATACACTGGTATGATGAAGGAAGGTCACTAGGGTCCAGCAGTATTACCAAAGCACAGGTCTCTGGGGGAGAAGAGGAAGGAAAGATGTGAACAGTGCCTTATCACCAGGAGGTCCTAAGTAGAAATCTAAATACCCTAATCCCCACAGCAAATTTATCTGCAGGGAAGCACCACCCAGCATTATCACGAAGGAGTAAAGGGCAAGGCTTATTTCACATATGTTAGTGTCACATAACCAGAAAGAAATAGAGAAGATGGGAGGGAGGAGCTGCTATATGATTCCAGGTCACTCGGTGACCCTTTCCTGTGTGCAAGCAGTTTCAGTGCTGAATAGCATCCAGTGCAGCCAAAAGGCATTGACAAGCTGTTGTTCAGAACTGGCAAGCAGAATATTTTGAGGTTTCAATTCCAACAGAGATTTCAAAGAAATGATGATTCATGTTGAGTTCTGACCAAGAAGTGGTGGCAGGTTTGGTTTCAGAGTTGACTCTTTGACTGGAGTCCTTGCTCAGCCTCCATGATGCACTATTCTGTGCTGCCACATGCCACACAATGTCCACCAGCAGCATAAAGGCAATTAAACCAAAGCAACATAAATAAGAAAAAAAATGTATAAATGGGGTAAAACAGCTGACTTGTGTAAGTCAGCATAAGCAGTTGTATTAGAAACATATTGAGCTTTTTGGTATAGAGTTGCCACAAATCACATCTTTCACTGTTTTATTTGCTGGTCTCATATTAATCTGCAATCATAAAATATGCAATGCTATTTTGATAAGAATGTATCCTCTTACCCACAGTATAGGTTTTCTGAGGGTCAGAAAAATAAAAATCCAGAAAACAGAGACAGAAACACAACTGCTGTTTTTCATTAATAAAAGATTAGTAATCTTACGATATAGAAATAGATACTTCTCAAAAACGGTAGCAATGAAATTATATTGCTACGTTATTACTAAACAAAGCACATTGATAAGAAATTTGTGCAACTAGAAATAAGAAACATAATTGGGATTGTTATAGTAGAGGATGATGTATCTTATTTGGATGTAAGATTAATAGTGTACAACTTCAGTTATGGGAATATCATGGGAAGGCTGGTGGTTGTGGGTCTTGTTTCAGATGATCTTTTTCATACCACCGTCCAAAAAGTGTCACAGTGATGACTGGTTTTGTTGGTCTTGTCTTACTTATCAAGCGCCATCATTCAATACCTGATTGAAAAAGGTAAGAGAAGGATGTGATTAAAGGAGTATCCATATGAACATGCTAAGAGCTCAGAAAGATGTGACAAAACAGGAAGAAGGTATGTCAGACCATATCTCCTACTGAAACTACTGACTTCATTAAAAGGTGTTTAATAGATCTGATTATTCACTATGAGCAAGTCCACTTTGGCTGTTTTGAGACAATTTATTTCATGACTATCCTGCAGGGAACCTAGCATGACACAGCTCCGGGGTGTTGCATTACCTGGAACTCCCCCGGGGCCAGCTGCACCCCGCTGTACAAGACTTCTGGGAAGACGTAGTTGGTGCCAAATGTGCCGCTGAGGGAGAACACCTCAAACTTGGTCTGAGCCGTCTCCACTGGCTGCCCACACGTGTCCAGGTCTGTGCTCTTGCACTTGAGCAGCGTGCATATCTGCAGGGAGGAGAAGCCAACAACATATTTAGCAAGATGGAAACACTCTGGTAGGTAAGCCTTGTGTCATCAAAGCCAGTGTGTGTCGGAGCAGGTGACCATCACAGGATCTCTTTCATAATCTTTAAGCAACTCCTTTTTAGTTGTAGGTTATTTTTTTTACCCCTTGATCTGACTGGGGGTACTCCAGACCTGTGTTACCTAAGTAATTAGAAATAACAATGTAAGTGCTGCCAGAGCACGTTATTTCATCCCTGAAGCCAAATCCTGTCACTTCCACTAATTCTTACAATTGTCAGTTGTCTTGTTTGAATGCTCCTTTCTGACATGTCTTAATAAGATGAGTTTGTGAATGGAAATTTCAGGCGAATAAAACAAAGTCTTCCTCATGGATACATTGTGCAACTGTACACACATGTCCTCTTACTGCTATTTGTACATGTTTCTAATGATAATTCATTAGATGACTTTGTAGTCCATGGGAAATATAAATTTGATGTTCTTTATCCAACTCCTGGTGAATATATATCAAGGTGATGAAGTTAGCATCCTCTGTCACAGCTTTGTGTTAGTAGTTCCAGCACACAGAGGAAAGTAGGAATGTCAATATTTCCCTTTTGCCCTTAGAGTTAATTATCTATCTGATAAATGTTTATGGACATCATGAAATAGGACTAGAACTCCTGTAAAGGTTCAAAAGATGTTGGCTGGTTTTGCTGACAGGTGATGGAGCTTTTCTATTTGTGTCAGATATTGGGGGATAGAAGAAGCATATTTGCAAATATCAAAACTATTATTCATCAGCAAACATGGTTTTGTGTTGAAATGCAAATAAGCAAAGAAATGAAGAATAAAATTCTCTCAGTATGTTCTGACAAAATGAAAAACGTGCTGAGGGAAAAAGGAAGAGTAGAAATTCCTGTCTTCTCTAGAAAATTCAGTACTGGTAGAGACCATCTGGCGGCTTCCACGATCACTGAAATAAATTTTCCAAGTGAGCTCATCAAGAACTGAATTTATTCAAGCTACCTTCTCAAATGTATTAGATGAGTTGCTTGCTCTTTAAGACCTCCCCCCATATCCTGGAGTCTGTACCAGCTGATATGCAAAAGCCGTGCTGACAGACAGAAGTAACTAACTAAAAAAAGAATAATCTACTGGCACAATAACTTAATTATGAAGGCAAAGAAGGTTTTCAAATATGGATTTAAGCAAATTCAACCAGGATGTAGCTTATTGTCTTCCTAAACATTTGATTAAGAGAGAGGAAGAGAAAAAAGCTTTTACTTTTTCCAGTAAAAGTCATATGCTATTTCAGTAAAATTCATTGCTATGATTTGCGTAATGACAAAAAAGTAACATCTTTGTGAATTTAAATTACCAGAGTGTCTCATAAAGATAGATATGATCAACTGATTTTTTCACAGCAACTGTTTCATGAAGATTACAGAGGGGATTCAGAACACTTAGTGCAGATAGTTACAAAAGAGGACCTAAATTTAGCCAATACTGAATGCTTAAAAAAATAGTGAGCACACCCTCTGGGAATTTAAAAGGGGCTTGGAGACCTCTCCACTGAATTTGCTGGATTTAAAGGTAAGCAGTCTTGGATGTTTCAGCAACTATTTCCCATTGCTAACAAATAGGACACCAGGACTCCAGCATACAAGAAAATCATTGTTTTTTTCCCCTAGAGCTGAATGTTTCTCCCTGTAAAGAAGCTTCCTAAAATAAGTAATCCCCCTCCAAAGAATCATTACCTGCAGATAGTATTGTCCTTCAACGACATGAAGCCCATCAAAAGCACCCAACACATACACTTCATTTTCTTGTTTCCCTGCTATCTTGTAGCTCAAGTGACAGCAGAGTTCTTTCTGGCAAATGGTGAGATTCCCCTCAGGCTTAGTGAGCTCAGTGAAAGTGAACCAGTCGTGGAAGATGAGTCCTCCGAAATCATGATTATTTGGTGAGAATCTTTCAACACTCAAAGCATATGAGCTCCAGTTGACAGCAGGTGGAGAGGTTGGAGAAAGCGAGGGTATGAGTCTAGTTCAGCAATGAGGAGGTGACCATCCTCAGTTTTCATATTGTAGTAGTATGCTCTGGCTCCGTCTGGTGCATAAATACCACTCCCTGAGGAGAGCACAATAGTCAGTCCAAAAAAAAAAAAAAAAAAACTCACATTGTCCTTTTAATTGTTCCTACTGCTAGCTTATCCACTTTTTTATAAATATTACAGAAATTTTAGTCTCACCAAAGGTGACCATTAGCAACTCAGTACATATTGCTCACACTCTGGCAAAGAATAGCATTTATTTCTCTGGGTGAAGTCTGCTCAGTGTAGCCAAAGGTAGAGGATTTTATGTTGTGGTTGTGTTTACGGCCTCCCCAGTTCTCTTTTCTCCTGTATGCTACAGTTGCTTGAGAATTCCTTTATTCTCATCTAACTGATATAAAAGGATCATCTACTAATTAAGAGCATCCAAACACAACACAGGCATGTATCACGGGCCCATCCTAGTGAACACAGATAGCAGCTGTGCAGCCCTGTTTACACTGGCTGAGAACTCCTCCACACGTGTGGAATTCAGACCTGACCGGTACCAAGCAACAGAGGGAAATCAAAGATCTGTCATACCCATCACTGCTGAAGAGCCACATGAAATGGACAAGCAGTAGTCTGTCAGGCATTTCAAATGAGAAGCCCCAAGCCAATACTATGGTTTCACAGCTCAGTAAAGATTCTAGTCTAGCTGAAATACACTATCCCATAAGCTAAGCTCTAGAAAATCAGTGCTACGCTCTTAAAAGAAAATGGAGACTTCTTAGCAGCATTACTGCAACAGGTCTGAAAATTTTTTTTAACACTTTTCTACAACTGTGTTAAATACAGCTACAAATAATTAAGTATTTCATTTGGCCAGAATAAATGGAGTCATGTATGTGGTCTACAAGTACATTTGTAGTTTGGCATTCAATCACAGACTTAGAGGTGGAGAGGAAAAGAGTCTACACTTCAGAAGTTTCTACTCAGGTAGAAGGGGCAGTAACTTACTACTTGTTTAGAGACATTAAAAGAAAGAACCGAAAATAGGTTTTGCTATGCCTTGTATGGCATCAGCAGGGACAACATTTGTCAGGTTTACAATTTGGTGACTAGACTCTTAGCCTTCCAGATAAATTCATTATATTCCTCTGCAAAATCACCTTGCAGAACAGGGGATAAAGATTCATGTTATAAAGATTTTTCAGACAGAGTGAAAATTAATTACCTGTCATTGACATGCTGGTGTAGTGTGTATTAGCAGCTAGGAAGTTGACACCCATGCCCATAGCCCAGGCAGAGTGAAACTCAACCGCAGTCAGAAACGGCAGGACGTTCATCCAAGCCGTTGGGAAGAGCACGGTGTCCACCTGCAACTCTCTCACCAGGACCACGGCAGGCTCATGGAAAAGGATGTCAAAGCAAGTGAAAATGCCAAACTTTCCAAAGGGGGTCTCAAAGGTGACAGCTTCTGGTTCTTTTGGGTAATTAAACTGAGTTTCTGACATAAAGAGATTATACTGTAGGGGAAGGAAAAAAAGAGAAATCAGTTAAAGGCACTTACTGCAATATTTTGGAGTCATTTCCTAGAACTTTTCAGAATGACTAGCGAAGTTTTTTGACCCATGTTTGAAGCCTTCACACATAGGAAGACAGGCTAAAATTTTATGGTCACCATAGTGCCCAAAAGGTAGATATGGGGAGGGACATATTGCCCTGGCAGCTAGCTATTAAAGCAGCTATCTGCAGGTCTGTTGGTGTCAGCCACTTGCAACTCTCATAAAAATAATCTCTCCACTCTCCCCACCTAGTTTTTAATTCCGGTGATCCGAAAGCCACACAGAAGAGAAATAATAATGAAAAGGTAGCATTGAGGATCTGGTGCCAAGAGAAGGATTGGTGACCTTGGTGTGAAGATGCACAGAAGGACTGGAAGCACACAGCACTAGCAAGAAGCACAAGACAGTACTGGGAGACTGCAGAGAGGAGAAGAAAACAAAAGCTGTGGTGATGGGGGAAAGGCAGATGACCTCAGCCAACAGAAAAATCCAAGTTTGTGACATTCTCTATTTTCCAGTATTTTCCTTCTTCCTTCACATTCATGTTTATTAAAAGAGTCCTTTAATCTCCAGGTGACCTGGACAATAAACGTGCACTGAGCCAGAAAAGAGTTTCAAGTTTACTGAACTTGTAACTCAGCACCTGGGCTGTGCCAGGCTCACACACGGGGATCAGACTTACATTATCAGTGTCCCGCTCACCTAGTTTGCTTGCAAAGAAATATCTTGGCATTGTCTCTGAAGAACCAGATGAAATACTGGGCCCGAAATGCAATAAATAAACAACTGACTTCAGACTAGCCACGTTGGCTTGATAGCTGGCATATGAGCCCCAAACAACTTTGATGAACCTTTCAGGTAGACACATAAAACTGAAAGATATTTCCATTTGGTGAAAATGTTTCACTGACATTATCTCTTTTTACACCCAGCTTAGGTCCATGATTTTGTCCAGATAATTCCTGTTATGCAAAACTGTGCTGAAACTTCAACAGAAGAAAAAAAATATAGGAAAGGTCCTGTATTCCTTAAATCAGGCTACTCATCTAAGATGAGATACAAATTAACATTTTAAAATCCTGGAATGTGAATGGCTAGTCTAGTGAAAACCTGGCACTGAAAACTAAAGATGCTTAAGCAGCAGGATTTCTGGTAATAGGGAGTTAATGAACTGAGGAAGTCAACCAAAACCACATATCACTAAACTGGACCTGAGCAATCTATTTTCATACTAGTCTGTTTTGAGAAACATAACAGCAAATGAAAATTTGGAGTCAGAAGCAAAAATCTGCCATGGGACAATGACTGTCATTTAATTCTCTTGCCAAACGGAGACATTTTGGCAGTAGTGGCAAAACTGCTCCTGACTTTCCAAGGCCACTCTACCTTGTGGTAACGAGCCACCAGTTTCCCCTCTGGGTCAAAGACGACGTCGGTATTGTACTGATAGCGACTGTCGCTGGGGCAGCCGGGATCACTGGAGTTACATGGCTTCTTGTCCCCGATGTTTGCAACCACATAGATGGAGTTATTCCTCGCCATGCAGCTGAGTCGTTCCTGCACTGGAGCATGAGCAAATCTAATGCATTTTAGGGAAAAGAAAAAAAAAAAAAAAGACTAACAAAATCTGTGTTCTCAGTGGCATCTACCACTGGGGTGCTGGAGTGACTTGGTCAGTCATGGCAGGGCAGGTAGATACACAGGGTTGCTGCAACACTCCCTCAGGTGGCTTCCCAAACCTGGAGGTAGGTTCTGGAGCCCTCCCACTGGCATCCAGAGGGATGTGCCACCCCTGGGAGGCCTGCTAGCATGCACAGCACCCAGGATGTGCTTTGAAGCAAGCAGATAATCCTAGGGCTGGGAAAGGGCAGGAGAGGAATCTCTGGGCAGAGGAAGACTAACTTGGTGTCACACAGGAGAATATCTTAGTGTCTGGCAAGCAGAGTTGAACTGTGGAACAGTGCAGTGGATGGGTCAAGGCAATTAGTCTCCTCCCACGCATGGGAGTACACAGTCCTCTAGACAGGGCATGAACAGCAGTGGGATATTCATTTCAAGATGTGACAGGCCATGTGCGATAAACGGGCAGAAACTCTGAAGCACCTGTACCAGGCTGGAAAGAGAGCAGACATCCCCTTCTGTAAGGTAGCGATGCATATGGCTTTGCAAGGTGAGCACGGGCCACACAGGAGGACCATCATGCAAGATACATCTATAGCACAAAGGAATAGGGCATGCCAGGCTGCGATGGTGGGCATTATATTCCTACAAGCCACTAATGAAAACCCTGATTTAGAGCACTGAAACGACAAACAGATCACCTTCACAAAAACTAACTGTTCAAAGAACTGGAATAAAGACCTGCTTAGCTACGCTGTCACCCCACACTCCACATTCATGGAAAAACTCCGTATATTTTAGCTACTTATGTCTCAGTAAAAAGTCTCACATTTTGCACTTCTCCCCATTGTGAATCTTCATCTCAGGACTGTTGAGGAATTAAAACCTCATGGATGTAATAGCATGCTCTAAGCACCTCATCACTGAGCAGGTGCGGAAAGCTGTGGTGAAAAAGGGACAGCACAGCTGTAGTTTCACAGCTGAGCACTTATTGCATGCTGTATAGAGCTGAAGTCCAGCACTCAACTATAGGCTACCTTGTCCCTGCTGGAACATGATGCCTGGATGACAGATCGTGTTCTACAGCACAGACTCTAGCAATTCAAACTTTACCTTATCTTAATAGTGAAAAACTAAGATTAAAAGTTTCTGGGTTTGTATCACTCAGAGGTTTGGACTGTGACTACTGACCTCATCATCTCTGTTACCAGCTGCTCAGAAATTAGTTCTTGGCTGGCCACAAAAATGGTGTGTGCTTTTGCTTGAACATGGCATTTGTAAAAAAAAGAACAAGCCAACAAAACAAATAAAGACTAGTGTTAAGAATTCACAATCAGTTTCCACTCAAAACAGTGTGAAAAAACTGAAAGCAGAACGAGACGTAGCATATTCTGCCATCAAAGCTTTTCCAAGCGCAAAAAAAAAGGTGTTTTCTCTACATTCAGTAACCCAAAATTCGTATATTGTTTGAATTTCTCTTGAAAGTGTCTAATTCAAAAAATATTTTCTTAACAGAGTTCCCTCATCAATTACTCACGGGCATACTATATATTTAAACATGTAACTTACCTTCACATGCAACTTTAATTGAAACTTACCCTCATGTCAAAAGCATTAGCAGTTCTTAGGCATTTACTGGGAGCAGCTCATGACCCTGGGAGACACTAGTCTGAAACCACATAAATCGCTGAAGAAGAAAAATCACCTTGTGGGGTCGGTGCAGGGAATCCAGTTCACTGCTGGATCAGGGATATCCTCCAGGTACGGGTAGATGGTTTCCCTCGTGAAATGCCAGCCATAAATGCCGTCTTCAGGAGTCACAATGATGTGGGCGCCCTGACACAACAGGCTCCGTTAAGAATTCACCCATCAGCAGATAACCAGGAGGGTCAGTGGGAGGAGAAAACAGTAATTAACAACACTCACACTACACCCAGTACCTGCTGGGCAGCTTCCTTGATGGCCCCTTCCAAGACATCCATGTTTTTGTTCATCAGGGCCAAAGCGTCCTCAGGAGAAACAGGCTCATCGGTGGCATCTGGCAGGATGACGGCGTGCTCGTAGACGGCAGCAGTGAAGGTGTCGGAGGCAAAGGCCTGAAGGACCGTGAGGGCAAACACTGCAGCGCGCAGGAGAGGCCGGGAGGGGAGCATGGCTGGTGCCTCGCAGTCCGTAGAATGCTCTGAGTCATGGACAAACGGTACAAAAGGAGCATGCATAGAAAAGAAAAAAGGGACAAAGTTTAACTCTGAGGGAGGGAGAAAGTATTGGTTTCTTAAAGCATGACCTCGGAATCAGCTGCCACTGGTGACATACAGGAAAGTAAAACAAGACACACTAAGGATGTCACAACTCAACAAGACTAAAAAGCTGTGAAACATCAAGACTAATTGTGACAATGTAAAAATAAGTCATTAAACACATGGCTAAAAAGTAACAGTCCAATATTTGTTGTTATACATTACTCTGCCATTGATCACAATAGACTTGCTATCTATGTTGGCTCAACTCTGACACCCAGGTGAAAGGTGGATGTGTCACCCCTGGAGCTAGTCTTCTGTGAAGTCTGAGCAGCAAAACTGAGGGTCTTAAAAACTGCTTTATTCTAGTGTCTTCATATTTCCCAGTTCCTGTTCTATGCATCAGTATGTGCAGCTTGCTTCCTTGAGTTTCTTCAGACCAAAGTCATTACATTAGCATCTCTCTGTACTTAGATGTAATACACTTAATGTGCTGGGAACAGAACTGTCCCTTGCATTTACCCCAGTGGCTCTCCCAGTCACTTCTGCTTAGCTGTACATCACTTCCCAACAGCCTTCCACCAGAAAATATGCATCTGAAGGGAATGTTTTAATCTGAAATCAGGCAGGTAAGCACCTCATTGCCTGGCTGTCGCTAGCCCAAAGAGGAAGAGCAGGCCAGCTCACCAGGTGCAGTGGCATGCCTGCTCCTCTGATCACTTTTCCTGTTCCCAGGATCATGCTGTGTATGGAGAGGCCTTCATTTTAAATCTTCAAGTCAGTTCACAGGCATTTTTTGCTATGACATTTTCAATTTTTTGACTTTCTAGTAGCTGTAGTATTCTCATTTGAAAAAGGTTTTCTGAAGAGTGGGTAGCAGAACAGGCTGTCTGCCTTCAGCCACAGCAAACTGTCACTGTAGATCTATCTCAGAAAAGACAGAAATGTGGGTGAATGCAAGCACCAGAGACTTCCCTGAAAGAGTAGTGCTGATTGAGGGTTTCAACCATTAGGAACATTGAGTTGCATCTGGAAACATTCATCTCTAAGTACTTATCTACATACATTACTAGATACAGCATGCTCATTTAGGAGCCTTAAATACAAGCCTTTAAAAGGCTGCAATAGAGATTTCAGTGATAATTGAAGTAATGTAGCTTGGAAGTCTTTTGCCCCCACCCTGTTTTTCTTATCAAATGAAACATGGATTGAGTCACATTAACCACAATCAGACATAAGTCTGAAGAAGGAAGCAGTAAATGCTGCCCTGTTTAGCAACAGCTAAGACAACAGCCAGCCCAGAAAAGTGACTAGTCTGGCAGGGCTGAGCAGAAAAATTTACAAGTGAAGGGCCAGGGTACTGCCCTGTAAAGTTCACTCTGCCAGGACAGGGGGGTTTCTGTAGTACGGTGGGATGGAGACACCCCTCTCTGCTTCTGTACCAGCAAGCACCACTGCCTACTGCCTGCAGAGCTGGGAGCTCACTCAGGAACAAGGAACTAATGCCAGTTAAGCAACCAACCCACAAATAAAACTTAACAAAACTACAGCACTCCAGGCAATGTAGGAGGAAGCTTACCCTAGAGCTCCCTCTGCTTTTCAAACCTCCATCCTCCCAATCTGCCCACCCTGTACTGCACTCTCCCCCATCTCTGCTGTTGCCTGAGGACTTACTTTTGTGAAATGGGATGCAATTTGGTGCTAAATCAATTTAGCTGTAGAGGTAGTCGGTCTTCAGATTGTGGTCCTGCTCCTTTTCTCGTGCTAAGAGAGACTGTGAGGAAGACTACTCCTGACTGGAAGAGTTAATCTTGATGTGGAGAGCCTATGGAGGCTCACATCTGCAACCACACAATCACTGTAAGGCAGTGAGGACACGTGGTCAGTGGTGAGGAAGTCGGAAGCCACTCATTTTTGGTAACAGCACATAGTTACGTTGCTTAGCAGCAACAAGACACCGTGTCCTAGGACGCAGTTACAAAGGTAGACAAACAGTACTTTTTCTGCACAAAAATGTAGAGTGTTTTCTATTACTTCTATTAAATTAATTGTAGACGGTTACAATTTAATACATTTACAGACTAAAATCTTATTTTTACGATGTTCACTATGTTCAGTAACAATGTATTTTGCATCCTGCGAGTCTATTTTTTTATGATATTGGTCTGATTAAATGTGAGCAATGTTTTTATTTCAAAACAGACATGCAGAACAAACAACAAAATTAACCACACATAGAAATCATAGCTGTGCCATGCAAAGTAATCCAGTCCACTGGCTTAGAAAGTATAGCCCGTAGGGCCTGCACCCGCACATGTGCCAGTGCGTTCAATCTGCTCAATTCCCAACACCTGACAGCACAGTCCTGACTCTCCCTTGCACCAGCATGAGCAAACACTTCATGGGAAGACAGATACGCATCTGCAAAATAGCTGCTTTTGAGAATTTTTGATACGGACCCAGCTGACTGCTTGAAAAAGGTGGCACAGTTATGAATAGTTTTGTGTAAAGGAAATTTTCCACACCCTAAAACTGCGGCCAGAAAGATTCGAGTAGACTCATCCAACTGTACGCTAGGGCATGGTGTGATAACACATTACACTATGTGCTGAGCCGAAGAACTGTTTTCTGAAGCAATGGTGTTTCCAGGCTTGTTTTCTTTTTTTTCAAAGTAAATGATAAAAGATCAACCACTGGCCTTCAAAGGTTCTGTTAATTTCTGGTTTAGAAAAGTGTGTGTTCAGAGATAGGGCAGAACAGTGTTGTGGAAATTACTTCTAATTCTCCACCAAAACTTTCAAAGAATTAAAAATCAGTTGTTATTGGGCCACAACCCACTGCTATGTGCCTGAATTCTACACCACTGAAGTCAGAGGAATTTATTTTCTATTGTCCCCAGTGTCAAGGTCAAGCCTATGACAACCAACACTATCACATAAAAACATACAGAACTGCAAAGCAGAGTAACTTAGTTTTTCTGCAAAATCAAGTAACAAATAAGTGTGGAATGATTATGCTGTCAGATAAGGCAATTTGAGAAATAGAATGCCATTATAATTATGGGTATAACATTAATTAACATTAATTAACATTATGATTAATTAGCGTTACAGAAACAAGAAGATGAGATCTTAAAGCATCTGCAGTGATATCATGGTGAAGCTTGCTGTGTGTGTGGAGGGTCCTTCTCATACCACCTCCCAAAGAGTGTTACACTCAAAACTGGCTTTGATGTACTAGTCCGACTTTATCAGACGTCCATCAGTTAATACCTAGTTAGGCAAAAGTAAATTAAAGAGGAACATCAGCAAAGCAGTACTATGGTATGACAGACACAAAATAATATACTCGTTAATGTTGACCTAGTCGAGAGATGTTGGAGCTCACCTGGAGCTACCACAAAGTCTGAGAAAAACTACACTCTTTCTTGAGCTAGATCTTGTTCTAGGGAGTTTGGGGGGACAGGGGAGAAGGGAATTGGCAAAATGGACTTGCTGTACGACTGCAATCAAGAAAATCAGGCAGAAAGAAAGCTGCCTTGAACTCAAGCCAATTATGGAAATAGAGGGCACTGATAACTACCAAGTTGCTCCTGTGTCCTGTAGTGGCTTTTTGCCCATTTGTGTTACAAGTCAGACAACTCACAAAGGTGTTGCATTACCTGGAACTCCCCCGGGGCCAGCTGCACCCCGCTGTACAAGACTTCTGGGAAGACGTAGTTGGTGCCAAATGTGCCGCTGAGGGAGAACACCTCAAACTTGGTCTGAGCCATCTCCACCGGCTGCCCACACGTGTCTAGGTCTGTGCTCTTGCACTTGAGCAGTGTGCATATCTGCAGGGAGGAGGAGGATGCAGAAAGGCAAAATATCACTAATCTTTCAACAGTCAAGATCTGGATTTGATTGTAAGAAAGGCTGTCATGATGGAAAAATGATCCATTACATCTACTCGTTTATTTAGGCCAAAAGGATCCGTGGCTGGCACTTGAAACTTTGTAAAAAGACAGTTCTTTGCCATGACCACATCAAAGCACTCTGTGTGTGTGTACACAAGTGTGTTTATAAGTTATGAGTGCATTCATGCATACTGCACATGCATTTAGTCATAGAGGTGGAATAGTTTGTCACCTAGGGAAATTACTTCAGCTCTGGCTGAGTTTCCTAAAGAACGGAAGACATACTTATTTGTCTACTCTATTGGGAATACACTAAGGATAAGAGAAAAGATACAAAGATATAGCACATTAACAAAAGCCAAACAGTGAAATTTAAGTGAGTCATTACACTGACAAGCCATGTGAATACAAATGTTATATCCATATTTAATTTCTTAATTTTGTTAAACAACCACATGTTACAGAATCACATGAGCACAATGGTAAAAACCACTGAGCAGAAAACAGCTCTCTGTTGTGACAACAGCATCCATATAAAGACAGGGAGAACTACAATATTATCTCCCTTTTGTATGCATATATGGAAACCTCCTTGAAGTGTTATAGCACAGGGTCAACTCAGGGTCTTCACTTTCATGATTTATAACATTGAAAAGCAGGATCAACACCCCTAATGAAGTCAAAATGCATCGTGAAGAAAACAAATGTTTTCAGAGCAGCCTAAGAAGTGCCTCCTCTTAAACCCCTTAAATCAAAAATGAGACAAATGTGAATGGGCTGCAAAGAGAGCATTGTGGCCTTCCCACTCTCCAAATAAGAACAAAAAAGCTTTACCTGCAAGTAATACTCTCCTTCAACGACATGTAGCCCATCAAAGATACCCAGAACATATATGTCACCTTCCTGTTTCTCTGACATCTTGTAACTCAGATGGCAACAGAGGTCCTGCTGGCAAATGGCACGATTTCCCTCAGGTTCAGTGAGCTCCGTGAAGGAGAAGAGATCATGGTAAACGACCCCATTGAAATAGTGATTGTTTGATGGACGCTGTTTGATCCTGCTGGCATACAATTTCCAGTTAACAGCAGCAGGATAGTCAGGAGAGAGACGTGGGTGTGAACTCAGTTCTGTCACCAAAAGGTGACCATTTTCCATTTTTGTATTGTAATAATATGCTCTTGGACCATCAGGGGCATAAATGCCACTCCCTGCAAACACATAACACCAGAAAGCTTTTAATCTGAAAGCAAGTGTATGGGACAAGTAATCAGTCTTCAGTAATTACACGTGGCAAATTTTATTTTAATATTTACCAGATTATTTTGAAATGAAATTAAGCCTTCACAGACTATAATCCTTACCTAATGCTTTTTCAAGCAATGAAAAGTAGGTCAAACTCTGATGTTACATATAAGTGACAAGATTAATGTGCTACTTATATGCCATTATATATGATTTAAGTGGCTGAAGCTATATGTTCCACACTGAGTTCAGCTGCATTAGCAATCAGCATTTCTGATTAAAATTAATGGCAACACTGTCAAGTCAGAAAAATTCTGCAAGGCAAAGATATTACCAAAAGTTACATATTTATGCAAGATCTTTACATAAATATTTAAATCTTTAAAGCCCGGAGTAAAACCTATCCATAAAGAATATGAGTTGTATGACATAGGGTCATCGATGACTGAGAACTAGAGGAATGGTCCATATCTGCTTTTGTTTGGAAGGCAACAATTAGGGCTACATTTTAACACCACCAGTAAGTCTCTCTCACTTTTGCAAACACGTGCCCACAAAACTTGTGCTTGACTGCTTGACTTCTAGCATCTGCTCAGCAAAAATACCCAGTGAATACAGAGCCTGCAAAGAAAACTTAACACAGGGTGTCCAGCCCAGAAGTAATGTTTGCAGGACTCGGAACATTTCTCAGAGTTAGGTTTCCACCTAGTGGAGAAAAAAAAGTTTGGGCCTTCACATGACCAAAACATCAATAAACACGAGGGTTGGAAGATGAACCGCACACATAAACTCTCAGCACTGATCATTTAAGAAATAACTAAAGGTGTTCTAGTCAACTTAAGGATTTCTGGGTTCTTACATATCACATTTCGATTTCCTTTTTATCTGTACAAGTTCTCTTGTCCTAATCTTGTTGGCATGTGTATGCATGCCTAAAGCTAACAGGAATCTCTGTTCAGGTCAACTGCACAACATAGATATAAATGTTACCCATGTAAACAAGATCAGTTAGAGCAATATCACATTACCTGTCATATCTAAATTGGAGTTGCGTGTATTTGCTGAAAGAAAGTTGACGCCCATTCCCATGGCCCATGCTGAGTGAAATTGGACTGATGACAACAGTGGAAGAGTGTTAATCCAAGAGGCTGGGCATAGAATGGTGCCAACCTGAAATCTGCTTGCCAAGACCACAGCTGGGTCATGGTAGAGTATGTCTGCACAAGTGAAAATGCCAAAGTAGCCAAAGGATGTATTGAAAGTCACAAATTCTGGATCCTCTGTCACAAAAAGGTTGTACTGTTCATGGAAAGGAAGGAATGGAGAAACAAGATTAGAAAGTAAATCAAACAATTTAAATCAGACTAATATGGAATATAATACTCATTCACTTAAATATAAGCAATGGAGAATATGTTTTGTGAACATGGTGTATCTTAATTTCTAAAAGAAGAATTCATACCACTGCAAGAAGAGTCAAGCACAAATATCCATGGTTCTGATTTATACCAGTGAAGCAGATTCGTATTTTGTTAGCAAGATTTTAGGGCATTAATGTTTTAATATCTCATGGGTCACTTCCTGTTGAGAAGCAGTAAAAATAGAAGGCTTATTGAGTTTTAATTAATTTCATTCAATTACTTGCTATTAAATTCAGAATAGCAGGAATGAAGAGCTCTAAAGGCAGTGGCTTTCACCTGCCCTCTGACACCTGCTCTGTAATGACTCTATGTACAAATACATTTAAGCCTGGGAACCAGCTTCTGTTTCACATCTTAAGTCACTTGAGGATCATGCATTTCCTGAACATTGTAAAATCCTCTTACCTTGTGATAACGAGCCACCAGTTTCCCCTCTGGGTCAAAGACAACATTGGTATTGTACTGATAGTGACCATCACTTGGGCACCTTGGATCACTGGAGTTACATGGCTTCTTGTCTCCCATATTTGCAACTACATAGATGGAGTTATTCCTTGACAGACAGCTCAGTCTTTCCAGCACATGTGAGGGAGCAAACCTAAACAGCAGGGAAAGAAGAAAGGAAATAAAACATCAAAACCAGTCAATCCATCAGAATGCCAAGACTAAGACTACAGATCACAAGAAGGATAAGTTTGTCATATCTAATAGAGGACTGTAGTTTTCTGTTAATCAACAGAAAGGCAGCAGTTTTGTGCTTCAAAGCTTAGTGTGCTGAAACTCTGGCTTCACCTCACATTGACTAAGGGAGGAACACGTGGATTTCCTTGCAGTGAAAGCAAATCTTTGCACCTTCAAGTCTCCCTTCTGCTGCTGGTGTGTGGCACAACACAGATGTTACACCAACACATGGGCTAATCTCAGCTGTTCTGCTTCAGCTCTCAATCTGTCTGCTGTGCTGAGGTAGTTTAGGATTTGTTTCTTTTATGGTGCGCTTTGTTATCTTTCACCAAACACTGTAGCTTCAAAAAATGGTGCAATTTATTAAGGAAAATAAGAGAATACAACAGCTACCATGTCATGATTCAAAAATATAAATTTGAAATTGTGCAGTATATCCTTGTAGCTGTTATTTTATTCACAAATATTCCTAATATTCCTGTATCTTAAATATTTTCTACAACATGCATGGAATACATTGCTGAAATGTAGATTCTATAAGTTTTTGGTTTTCTTTTAAATAAATTTCAACCTTTAAGAGTACACTAACTAAAATAAAAAGAGTTACAGTGAGAAAAAAAAAAAAAAAAAACAACAGAGAAAAACAATGAAGTTGTCTGAAGCTATTTATGGCAATCACATGTTATCTGATCTGCCCTCATTTCACAGTGGTTTCTCCAACACGTTTAAAACTATCAACAACCACTACTAAAGGCAGCTGTCTTTCCCATCAGACTGTTTGCCTGTGCACAGCAGGAACGATACCTTCCAGGATCAGCACATGGAATCCAGCCTACCTGCGGGTCTGGGATGTCCTCAAGGTAAGGGTATATTGTTTCCCTTGTGGAGACCCAGCCGTAAATGCCATCTTCAGGAGTCACAATGATATGGGCACCCTGGTACCAGCACACGAACCCAAAAAACACCATTAAGAAAACAAATAAATGGTCAGTGTTTACCAGAATAAATGTCTCTAACTCTGTCACAATACCTGTCTGGCTGCTTCTTTGATGGCCACTTCAAAAATTGCCATGTTTTTGTCCACCAGCAGCAAGGCTTTCTCAGGAGAAACCGGCACTTCAGTGTCCTCCGACAAGACCACGCTGTGCTCATAGACGGCTGCAATGTAGCTGCCCAGGGCACAGGCCACCAGAACCAGAAGCAAGACAGAGGTATGAGCTTTAGGAAGGCCCATGTCTGGAGCCTGGAAGGTGCCCAAGAGGAGACTGAGGGCAAGCAAAGGGTTTAAAAAAGGAAAGTCTTGCACAAAACCTGGGAATTCCCCAGAGCGGCAAAAAGCCCACACCAGGAGATGCAATCACTCCACCCCAGAAAATCTTTCCACACCAAAGGCAGGAGAGGTGCTGGCATTGAGCAATTCTGCCTTACACCACCGACAGAGAAGTCACCACTGTGCTGCAGCTGAAGAAACAAAGAAACACGTCGCTTGCCAGATTTAGAAATAATTCAGGCATGGCATTGCTGTAGTAATGCAGTTCAAGGCAAGCCCAGGTCACAGCAAGACAACAAGCCTGAGTTTGGGAAATCTCAGCAAAACCAGCTTTTCTGTCCAAACCTGAGGGTGTGGGGTGCAGGCAGGGATGCAGGAGGCAGGCGGCCAGCCCCGAGCTTGGCACTGCTGCGTGGGCACTGCCTGTGCCACCCCAGCTCAGGGCTGGTCCAACCTAGCCATCTGTGGTTTGGCTACACATGGCACAGTCCCTGCTTATCACAGCTTCACAGATTGTACAACTGTGTTAGTAGCAGCAGATGCGTATTTAGACTCACCGCCATGTGAGACAAGCACAGCACTAGGCTGGGGATTGCTGAGTTTCCCACAGGTTGTCCCACTGTTCTGCCTTAACCATGTGTCCAGGAGTGCTGGATAATCATGGCATGAGAACATGCTTGTGAGTTGAATTGAACAACAAACCTAGAAACTAGGATTCCTCTTCAGGCGTCTTTCACCTCCATTGTGTATATGAAAGAACAGAGAGGAGAGAAGATGTGTTACCAGAAAATTAGAGGGGTTAGATAAGCCTGTCTAGTTTCTACTGGAGTTCTGGTGAAGTTCATGCATTGACAGGACAGCTCATTAACTTCAAGGACATTTGTGCTCCTTCTGGTAATCCTGACCCCTTCCAAGTCCGAACAGCACAAGTCAGGTAAGTGAACAAGTCACTTCCCAAGGAGAGCTAATTATGTGTCGTGTCTACAGATCTGCATCTTGAACATCTTGCATCTGCCTATGGTCTTCTCAGCTCCTCCTCACCCTTGGCACCAGCAGGGTCAGCACTTTATAACAGGTTGAGGTGTACATTCCTGGTTTCAGTAAAGTCTAACACCTGAGACTAAAGGAAAGGGAGCTGTTTCCAGGATGTTCCCAAGGGAAGCCTGCCCTTTGGTACCCTGATGCTTCACAGTTCAGCTGGCTATCAGAGCAATTTTTCTTGCTAGTGCCCCAAAATGGGCTCTAGCAGAGAAAGTATTTCTTGTGTAAATTCCAGTAGTTACTCACAAGAGAAAGTAGGACTAGATTATTTTTCTCATTTGTGGAGAAATGGGTACCACCTAGAAGAGAACCTCTTCTAGGACTCAGTTCTGGGTTGGAGGACTTCTGCCACAACCAAGGTCAAGAAGTCTAGTATGAGTTAACCAGGCATGCCCTTGTCTCAGCTCCCCTTGCCTTTTTTTGACAAGCACCTGGAGGAGGTAAGAAGAGTATTTTTTCCCTATTGTTAGAAGTAGTAGCCCTAGACTTCTGATAGATTTACAGTTGCAGAGGGAACATTAGTAAACAATAGTAAAATAGACCTCACACACCAAGCTGAGTCTTCATATATTATACAAACATACATTGTATGTGTACGTATATACACACACGCGATGCCAAGTCTCTTCCAGGACTGAAGGTAAGTTGTGTGGAGATACGAAGTCTTCTCTTCATTACCTTTACCTCCCATTTTCAGGCACCTTCAAGATAATATAAGTGCTGGTAGACACAAAGCCTTTTAGACTCTTCTAGTCTAAGAAAATTCACAAAACTTAGAAAAAAAAGTTGCTTTATTGAAAACAATATTGTGCCTAATGCTTTGTCATTTCAAATTCTTTTTCAGCATTTTATGTTATCAATTAAAGTATTACAAGATAATGAACTTTCTTTAAAAAAATACAGAAAATCATGGTAGCAAAATAGTCGCTTTACCAAGAATAATGCACAGCAGGCTCAAGTATAGAAACCAAGCATTTGAAAACACACATCTTCACATACAGTGGTGCACTTGTATATGGGACACAATTAAACAGGCTGACATCTGAGGGTTATTCATCATTTCAGCCAATCCACATGAGGACTTCCAAAAGAAAGGCAGTCAGTGTTTAGTGTTTCAAAACAGTAATGCAGCTACAACTAAACCACAACTGGTTGTTCACTAAGGGATCAGGTATCCCAGCTCCAGAATAATGAAACACTGTTAAGTCCACTCATCTCAACACTAGGTTAAACCACAATAGTAAACAGAGAACTGAAAGTATGTCTTGCTATGTTTCACTGCCCATCAGATGAGTTCTTTCTTCATCGTCACCAGAAGGAGTTTGCAGGCTGGAAATGGAACTATTTACACAAGAACAAGAACGGGAGGGAAGAAACAGGTTTAATATTCTCTAGATACTTCTATGCCATAACAACATTATAGCAAAAAAGCTGCACATTATGTGGAAAGAGCTACGTGGATCAGGGGATTTGGTTCCCCACTGTTGCACGGAACCACATACTATTACTTTCACACCTATCATTTCACAGAATCACAGAACATTTTGGGTTGGAAGGGACCTTTAAAGGTCATCTAGTCCAAGCCCCCTACAATGAGCAGGGACATCTTTAACTCGATCAGGTTGCTCAGAGCCCTGTCCAACCCAAACTTAAATGTTTTCAGGGATGGGGCATCTATCACCTCTTTGGGCAACCTGTTCCAATGTTTCACCACTCTAATCATTAAAAATTTCTTCCTCATATCTAGTCTGAATCTACCCTCTTTTAGTTTAAAACCATTACCCCTTGTCCTAATGCTAAAGGCCCTATTAAAAACTCTGACCCCATCTTTCTTATACACCCCCTTAAGTACTGAAAGACCACAGTATGGTTTCCCCAGAGCCTTGTCTTCTCCAGGCTAAACAACCCCAACTCTCTCAGTCTGCCTTCATCAGAGAGGTGCTCCATCTCTCTGATCATTTTTGTGGCCCTCCTCCAACAGGTCCATGCCCTTCTTATGTTGGGGGCCCCAGAGCTGAACACAGTACTGCAGCTGGGGTCTCACGAGAGTGGAGCAGAGGGGGAGAATCCCCTCCCTCGACCTGCTGGCCACACTTCTTTTTATGCAGCCCAGGATATGGTTGGCTTTCTGGGCTGCAAGCACACATGGACGGCTCAGGTCCAGCTTTTTGTGCATCAGTGTCCCCAAGTGCTTCTTAGCTGGACTGCTCTCAATTCCTTCATCCCTCAGCCTGTATTTATACCAGAGGTTGCCCTGACCAGGTGCAAGACCTTGCATTTGGCCTTGTTGAACTTCAAAAATTTCACACAGACCCACTTCTCAAGCTTGTCCAGGTCCCTCTGGATGGTATCCTGTCCCTCAGGCACGTCAACTGCACCACTCAGCTTGGTGGCATCTGCAAATTTGCTGAAGGTGCACCCAATCCTACTGTTTATTTCATTGGTGAAGATATTAAACAGTACTTGTCCCAATACTGATCCCTAAGGGACACCACTTGTCACTGATCTCCATCTGGACATTGAGGCGTTGACCACTACTCTCTGGATGTGACCATCCAGCCAATTCCAGCTCACAGACACTTTCCCAGAGGAACCATCAGTAGCGTTTTCTTGTTAATGCCAGTTCTGTTGCTTGTATAGAACATGTACTCCCTGGTTTAGGTCCCTGTTTAGGTCAATAGGGATTTAGGAAAGCATACAAAGTATTTAAGTGATGTTTTTACTGCTCATCTTATCATGCATTATCAGGTTAGTAGCAAGGAAAAAAATGGAAGCACAGCTTTCAAAGATCTGCTTTATAAGGCTGCAAGTAAAATAAAGAATAAATATCTCAGCATACCTTCTCCTTGTTGCCTCAGTGATATAGAATATTCCAGCTGCAAGACCCTTTGAGGAAACAGTCAATTACAATTGTAATAATAATAATAAACAACATTATGCAATAGTTCAAAATTGCAATAGATATAAAAAGCAAAAGATGTGTAATTACTTACACTTAACAGTGCCCATCCTCCCTGGATGGCTGAGGCCCATTCAAAACCCAGTTTTTCATTTAGAAATCCTCCCAGAGTTGGACCTGCAAAAGCCCTGCAACAAATCAAAATGAGGTATTGGCATCTCAGACAAAAAGATAACATATCTTATTCTCAGATAAATTTTTTACTGTGTTTTGTAGCCTCCCTCCACTGATTCACTCTCCTTTGTCAACAAACAGATTGTTTTCCACAGACCTAACTTTCCTATAATCCACAACAAGTATTAATTCTTTGTTTGCCATGGCCCCAACAAACCTATCCCATTACCACCTCAGCTGAAAATAGGATCCACATCAGAAAGCCGAATGCACTCTTTTCTGTATCTGGAATGGCATAGAGGCCCCATTAAGGACCATGTTCTAACAGAGCATCTACACCAATCAGTTCTGTCATAGAAGAAATTTTAAATCTCATCCCTCAAAATGTAAACCTTTCAAACTTGAAGACAAAAGAGTGATGGATATAGGCAAGTGGGGAGGCACATAGTGACAGATGTGGTCACTGCAAGGTTGAGCTGTATGTAACTGCCCTGGACCTTCATCACTGTCTAAGAATGCCATGAAAGGTTATGCAGCTGCTGTCACTTTATGAACCATCTCACATAATATGGTCTCTCACTACAGAAAGGGACAAAATTGTGTAAAACTAGAGAGACTTCCTGGACACAAGTCACAAATTAAAACCAGGTTTGATAACTGCATAAAACTGGGCTTTAGTAACTTTATACTACCTGTTGGTGCTGAACCCTATGCCAAATAAACAAGACAGCTAGAACTTCAGTTATCTTGGAAAAAAGTGGTGCAAATTTGTACCACTGAAACACACCTGCAGCCAGAGGACAGATTAAAAAAAGCCTGGAAGTGGCTATGAATAGGGAGACTGTCACTTCCCACTTAGTGACAGCTCTGAAGGGTCACTCAGCCAGTAGCACCTTTCACTCATTTCTGTGACAACCACTGGGTAACAAACACAGACACACTCTGTTAAGCTGTGCAAACACAGACCTTACATAATGGCTGTCCCTGAAAGAGAAGATTCTGCCCTAAGCCATCCCAGACAAAAGGAGGAAATGTAGAAAATGAAATAGGGAGAACAGAATTAGTCAGTAGCAGATACCTTCTATCTTGCTCCGTATAGGTGGACTTAGCTTTGTAAAAAAATAGAATCCACCTCTCTATATTACACATTAAATATGTCAGTGTCAATAAAAGTGACCACACAGAAGCACAAGCTAACATCCACTTTATCACTGCAGCTTTTTGATATGCAGGTCAATATATTTCAAGGAAGACAAGTTCAGAATCCATTCCCTCTCTTGGGCAAAAAGCTTTGTTTTAACATGTCCACCTGGTACCTGTTTAGCAAGAGCCTTCTGAATCAAGATCAACACAATGACTGCAGTGCAAGACTTCTGGTTGGAAGGCAGCAGGCATTTGTGTGGCAATACCATAGAACAACCAAATGCTCATAGATTATGAAAAGGTGATTGTGTACCTACCCAAGGGACCACATGGCATTGAAGAGCCCAGACACCAGTCCCAGCAGACTCAGACCTTCTTCAAATCCATTCTCACTGCAGAAAGACAGACCAGTTAGAGTAGTACAATACATTATTGTGTTTCAGTCTATAGCCTTCCCCTATAGAGTTTTTTCCCTCCTTTTAATTTACACATAACATGAATAGCTAACAAGCAAAAGCATACAGTGGAATCATGTCTGTTTACCCACTGCTTTTCTGCTGCCTCTCTGGAGGACTGCACTGCTATCCCTTATCTCTGATGTCTTCCAAGTAAGATTGCTAACATCACACCATTGCTCATTCACCATGTTTCATACAGTAAGTGTAAAAGAGTGAAAAGGCAGCTTTTAAGAAGGGAAGACCTTGTTTCAAGAGGAACATACTAATAAGAGTAAATCAAGACCTTTCTAGGTCATTACTGTCAAGCCACATCACAGAACTTGTACTTTGAACAAGTATGGCTCCTGTAGGTGCATCTGTTAAAGCCAATACAGTTTGAAAATCCAGTGAAAACTGCTTGCTATTAACCGTCCTCAGAAGCTGAAATAAATCCCATGTACATGAAACCACACACAGGTCACCCCATGCTATGAGACCCAAAGCCTGATGGACTTCAGTGTGTTCATAGTACTGAGGTACACATTTACAAAATTATATTGGAGTTTGACTCAGGTTCTTTGACTAAGAAAACACTAAACAAGAGAATAGTGGAAGCATTTAAGTGTTACTCACTGCTTTTGTCTCAAAAAGGGGGAAAAAAAGCCACGCCAAAATCCCACTTCATATTCAGCCCTGAAAAGCAGTTGCAGTTTCCTTCTGTCAATAATGTGAAAGACGTGTTGGACCAAGTTACTTACTATGCACAGTGCAGTATCTCTGGAAACACTGGGATAGCACACATGCCAAGGGAAAAGCCAATCAAAACCAGCACTAGCACAAACATCCACAGCTGACTGAAAAAGAGGCATTTAAAAGAAGTTAGCTGCTGAAGACTCTTTTCAAGCAAGGACCCCATTTGACTGAAGGTTGTTACATCAGCTCTCCATGGCTGACCAGAAAACTAGGTTTCTTGAAGCCAAGGACTCCAATTGAACACTAATACTTGAAAAATACAGTTCTATGCTTAAAAAAAAAGACTTTGTAAAATAATTTTTAAATCCTGTGCTCAAATTAAATATTTCCTTATCAAATGCAGTTAATTTTAAAAGGAACATATAGAGAAGAGGTAGACAGATGACTAACTCAGCAATACAGGGCTTGGTTTGTTGCACAAGTGAAGAATTATGCAGCTAAAATTTTGTAGCTGAACACATTATAACCAAATAGACTTAGCTAAAGAAAAGAATGTTGAAGATTTTACCATTTTCCTTTTCTCACCAGCTCAAACATATGACCTCACCGGTTTCAAATGTATGATCTTCTTTAAAAATTACAAGTCTGGGAGGAAGGAGTTGACTAATTCTGCACATTAGCAAGCCTATCATCTTTAACAGTATATAACCTAGGACAAAAGGACTGTACAACTGTTTTGTAAACGTCTCAGAGTATTTTGCTGTGAATTAACTTGAGAGATATGGCAATGCAGTGTTCAGGTGCAACAGATATTGTCTTTACTTCGCTAGCTGAAAACAAAGCTATAATCTGGCATTTTCATCAGTAAGCTATATACAGAGAGAAGAAAAATCACTCTGCTGCACAGCCATGCAAATAAATCCCAGAGTTAAGAAACACTGGTGAAATAGAGAAAAATAAAAAATAAGACAGAAAGAGAACTTTGTTTTGCTGCACTGGAAATACCACAGGGAGGAAAGGAAAATAAAAAGCAGCATTCTTCCCACCACACACATTAACGTGACCAAACACAGTAACAGTAAAAAGCAAAGGAAAAGAATGTATTGGGTTTGTGTAGCGGGGTTTCTACTAGAAGGGGAGGGGGCTACAGTGGTGCCCCCTGCGAGAAGCTTCTCAAAACTCCCTTGGCTCCAAGTCAGATGCACCTCTGGCCAAGGGTGAACCAATTATCTGCGCCTCTGCGATAATGTATTTAAGAAGGGGAAGCTGGGAGGAGTTGGAGTTGCGAGGAAGACGTCTATGTGAACACCAAGGTCAGTGAAAGAAAGGAGGAAGGGGGGCAGTTGTGCTGGAGCAGACACCCCCCTCCCTGTATCCCATGGTGAGGCAGGAGGGCTGCCCCCCCCAACACATACCATGGAGGTCACTGGTGGAGCAGACGCTGACCTGCAACCAGTGGAAGACCCCACAACAGAGAATGGACTGAACCCAAAGAAGGCCGGGACTCTGTGGGAAAAAGAAGCTCCCACTGTTGTGGTTCAGTGCTGGGAAGACTGAAACATGTGGGAGGGACTCGCACCAAAACATCTCAGGAAGAATGCATCCTGCAGGAAGGACTCACACCAGCGAAAGTTCATGGAGGATTGTCTCCCGTGAGAGGGGAACAACACTGAAGCAGAAGACAATGCGAGGAGTCCTCCTCCTCAGGAAGAAGCAGCTGCAGACTGACCATAACCCTCATTCCCTGCACCACAGAGAGGGGAGGAGGTTGAGAAATCTGGAACAAAACTGAGCCCAGAAAGAAAGGAGGGGGGTGGGGGGGTTGTTTTTAAGATGTGGTTATGCTTCTCACTGTCCTACTCTGCCTGTTAAGTGTAGCTGTTGTTAGTGTCTGAATTAAATTGATGTTATTTTTCTTCCCCCAACAATTCTGGGTTTTGCCCATGACCCGTAATGGAGGAGTCATTCCTCCTTGTCCTCATCTCAATTCCCGAGTCTTCTCCTTTGTGAACAGCTGGGTGGTGCTCAGTTGCCCTCAGGGCTCAAACCATGACAGGATCTATGTTACGAAGTTGTAAAATCATCATTTTCAGATACTTCCACTGCTTTATATTCATAGTCTCATGTTAGAAATTAAAAACACCCTGTTTCATGGTCAGAGGCACTAACTATAAACTTGTGGAGGTACATGACTATGGTCATGATAGCTATGACAAAAACATCACATAAGGGGACAGGCTCAAGAAGAGGAAGTTCTGTACCTTTCAATGTGCAGTACAGGAGCAGGTCCTAACATGAAGAAGCACAGTGCTGTCATTAAGCCTCCAGATACCAGCAGCCACTTCCTGAGGTACTGTGAAAGAAAAGAAAGAGGTATGTAATTTAAAGATGTGAAATTGTAATGTAACTATTTTGTCTTTCCTAATACCCCTGTTCTAAATCTTCATCTCCTGAAAAGTATAGCTCCTGTAGAGACAATCATTACACATAAACTGGAAAGTCACAACTTTTCTGCCAGTTCTGAATACCATCAAGGAACACTGAATTCATGTTGCCTCACCACCAGTGCAATCACTGGCGGCAGCTGCGTACAGAGATTTCTTCAGGATACTAAGTAATGGTGCTTCTCTGTTAGCAAAGTATTTTAGGTCTTACTCTTCCTTAGTATAGGAAATACTATGTAACACTGCGTGTAATTCTCACGTACAAAGGCCATTATTAGCTTGTATCAGGAAAAAACAGTGTCAGAAAACTGGCACTGTCCTTCAAGCACAGCATTCAAAGTGCAGGTTTCCTTGATCAATTAGCAGTGGCTGTCAGCCCGGCACTTTTAGGTATATCACTGTCAAAGTCTCTTTCTATGGTGCAGTTAAGAGCTAGAGAACCATAGCCAGTCAGCATGCTGATCTAATTTGGATATTACATTTTTTAAGCGATAAAGTCAATACAGATAAACAGAACATCTTTACTCCTTTTCTCAAAAGCTGATAAAATTAGATGTGGTCAAAAGCATCGGTAACTGGGACACATTTTCCCACTCTCCATTCCATATTGTCTGGAAATAGATTGTGCTTAGTCCACCAGAAAAGCTCACCACATTTTAACTACAGGATACTTGTCCAACATCCTTTACTCTTTTGTACATTCTTACATTACCTGACCTTGCAAAAGAGACCTTCAAGTTGACAGCATTCATTGCACGTGCAAGGTCCTGAAAAACAGATCCCTTTATAGGACCAGGACTACATCCATCACTTCAATATGGGAAGTCCCTCTGATTTTAACTAAATGCACAGAGTGCTTTACTAACCCTGGACAAACAGCAGGGTAGTACTTACTGGCAACTTGTCACTTAGGAGTCCAAGGAGGGGGGAAGACAGGGAGTACGAGAGTGCCAACCCAAGGAATACCAAACCCACATAACCAGCTGGGAGTCTGAACTATGGAAAGGAATATAAAGCAAAAAACAAACATCAAAACATGTATGCTACACTAATTAAAGAAAAATCCAAGAATTATATATTAGGTCAAAACACTGAAATGCATGACTAAGTATTTTACTGATACTATAGAGAGCTTTTCAAGTATTTGAAGTCATCAGCAGAACTCCAGTTTCTTTTCATTTCCATTTCTAAGCATGGAGTGGAAACACCAGACACGATTGTACTCAGATAAAGCCTAAATAATCTCAGGAAGAAACACTATGCTATGTCCCTACACCAGCACAATGGATTCTAACATTAATATCTGGCACATTCGAAACAGACACTTCAGACCCTGAAATTCAGATGGATTTAGTCTTTACCTCTCCAATCTTCAATTTTATTTCCACTTAGAAAAATACTGTAGTCATCCACTGATAAACAGTGCATCTTAAAAGTTAGTGGTGCTATAAAACACAACTCTGTTTTTTCAACCAAAGGAGGATTTTTATAAGAATGAGTAAGAGGCTTTTTGAAAACACCCTGAGGTCTACACATTCCCAACGCAGAGTAACATTTCTATATGGAAACAAAATGGTAATTAACCAAAAGCATAGTAGTCTCTCAAATGAGTGCTTTCACTACCAGTTAGAAGGTATTCCAAGATGGTTCACGTGGCATGGACTACAAAAATATTCACTATTTCCTTGCCATATGCAAGCACATGATAATAACTCTAATCTAGCGGTTGGAACGTCTGCCAAGACAGCGACAGCCCTTTCACTGCAAGTATCTGTGTCCTAGTTCAGGCTAGCACAGAGCAAAGGGAAAGTAGTAGAGCCACATCAGTGTGCAATACTCTACAGTGGAATAATCGCAGATCGCTCCTGGGTGGTGGAAGACATACATTCATGTCTCCACTGGTAGAAGAGGTGAGCACCAAGTCTCCTCTACCCTGGCTGAGTGCTCTAAGTACTGGACTAGACTGACAAAAAGTAGGAGCACAACCACCTGTGAAATGCTATGTCCTGGAAAAAAACAATTAATAAACCACTCAAAAAGCATTGTTTAATTTCACACAGGAATAGAATCGTAAACTGTTTACTTCGAATTCATTACCCTAAACACGGTGGGGAAAATAAATAAATAAATAAAACTAAGTAGGAAACAAATCAATATTAAAATAAATAAAAACTAATTAAAAAACCCGGCATTTGCATTGTTAATGAGCAAGTGAAAAAGTTATCTGGCAGGCTATGTAGTTTCAAGCAGTTTAATTTTGGCATTGTTGTAAGAGAAGGCAGAGCTGTGACATCATATCCCTGAAAACAAATGTCCCCATCAAGAGGTATAACACTGTCACTAACTGTCACAGTTTTTTACAGAATTTGCTTTCAGAAAGGAGAAAAAAGTCTCTGCTTTACAAAACCAGCTGCTATGCCCTGTTCAGATAAGGTACTCTGCAGCTGAAAGCCAATTAAGTGGGAAAAGCGCATCTTTAAAGGCCTTACCTTTCCTCAAAGTTACCAAGACCCAGTGGCAACAGACGGTGTCAATAGAAACTATGATTTGTCAGTTTTTTGCAAATCACATTATTAACAGTTAAAGCTGTGTGGTTGGATAAGGCTTAGTTTTGTTTAGGATATTTAAACCACATTTATAACCAGTTATTTACTATTTAGCAAGGCAAGACTTCCCTGTATGTTGACATGACTTACCTTCTTTAGGATAAAGAGAGACATTGTTGGATCCAAAAAACCCAAGCATGCACTTAGAGAAAATATAGTAAGACAAAGCAGTAAGACTTTCGGCAGAAGAATAAGCTTCCAAAAGGAGTCTTTGCTAGGGATTGAATCTGTTTCAAGAGAAAAGGGGGTGGAAGTTGTGTTATTTTCAGCAGCACAGGCTCATGATTGATCTTTCTGCTTTAGAATATAAATCCGTATTTCCCTTTTTCTAGTCCTATTACTTTTGTTATCTAATAAATTAAAGTCAATAGTAGACCATTATGCACTACACTATTTTTATATTAAAAAAACAAATTTGGTAGGTGAAGAAAAGTACACAATTTAGTTTCCAACATTGCAAATCCCCAACTTGAAAAGAACAGAAGCATGTACTATCCCCAATTGTTATTTCTCCGTTATTCCTTATACAATGAAAATCTCATGGATTCGTCTCAACTTAAAAAAAAAAAAAAGAAAACAAAACAAAACATGCACACATGCATGAACTATTCCTATCCAATCAGAGAAACATGCTTTGCAAGTAAGATAGACAGACTGCTATTCATCAGTTGAGATCTGACCTAAATTTCTAAATTTTAAGCAACTAGTCATTTGGGTCTCGTACATGTTCAACTTGTACTCCAGACAGGAAGCTTCTTTCAGATGTCATGGTCAGATATAATTTCTAAGGCAGGTTCTCTTCCTGTTGATGTTGGTGCTTTAATAGTTGAATGTGGTGTCAAAGTATACATAGAACTAACAGTGCATTCACTAGCATCCACCAGCTCAGAGCTAACATTTATTTAATGTAGTTTCAAACTGGCTAGTAATATCATGACTCCATACAATTTCAGAGCTCAGGCAGGTGGAGGGGAAGCCAGCAGTAGTAGCACATGGTTAACCACTGTAAGTTTCTTCTAAAAGCCAATATGTATGGAGTTATTCTCCAAGGTTCTCATATTTAAGAAGAAAAAATATATTAAAAATATATTTTAAAGTTACTAATTTTTATTCTAGAAAAGACTTTGAAATTACAATCTGTGTGAAGAATTATCTTTAAGTTAACTTTCTGTCCAAGCAGGACCATCTAAAATTTAATCAAATTTGTATGACCTCCAGCACTTAAGCCCCTCATTTACTAACTTTAACATTTTTTCATGTTAATCGGATCCTGAATCATTCAGTACAAATAAACGCTTTTTGTTCTCCCTGTAATTCTGTTTTTTTCCCATTACCCCTCAAACACATCAAGTTCTCTTGTTTTAGGCAAAACCAATCTCCAGATTTTCTTCAACTAGCTGCAATGATAAGCTGATACAAAGAACATACAACTGATCCTTTACGAGCCATGAAACCAAAGAGACAAAAGAAAACACAAATTTATCTCAATTCACTGTCACACAGAGTTCTTAGTGTTTGCAGAGATGTGCATGAGGTGTTGGATTCATTCCAGGCCATCTGCATGCATTAAAACATGGGCCTAATCAAGATCACGAGTTAATTCAGCTGGATCTTTGCCCTCTGAGTTGTATCAGGCTTCAGAAACTGGTATTTTTCTAAAACAGTTATATATATGAGAAATTAAGGCAAGTGAAGGAGACAGGAAGAAGGGTGCTTACCGTATTTTGGTAATAGACACATATTCATCGGCACCAAGACCAACACTATGCATCCCAGTGTAATGAAAGGGACCTCATAATCAAATGATTGATATAAAAAGCCACCTAAAGGTGGGCCCAACACCAGTCCGAGTCCTGTAAAAATTTCAAGGCTGCCCTAAAGGATGAAAAAGAAAGCCAGCAAAAAAAAAAAAAAAAATGCTGAGAAACTCCCATGTATCAATAAAAACAATCCATTTTTCTGAGGAGCAGGACAATATAGCCAGGTTAGTGAAAAGAAAAAGGCACCATGTCACTAAGGGAGATAATGGCAAGTAGAGACCTTCACAAAGCGGGACAGCAAAAGGAATTTTGCAGTTGTCTACATGACAGCAGTTGCTTCCTTTCCTTCACTAGGGAGGTACCACCTGTACTGCAGAACTAGCCATTCTTCTGACACCTAACACATCCCAGGCCTGAGGCAAGGCAAATGCTCTACTGATGGAAAGCATCTGTAGGACAACTCAGGCTGAAGTGATTAACTCTTCCACCTGCAGTTACATTCCAGCCTGAGGGGGAGGATCCGAACAAGCCAACTTGGATGAGTCATGACCTTGTGAGATGAGGTACATGTGCCAGTTAAAGCTTTCTCTCCATTGCCTATGTTTGAATTCACGGACTAGTGTTAGAAAAAAACAGTGAAATTGCAATGGGGTAACTCAGATTATTTCTGCTACAATTTAATAACCTGGCATCTTTTATATGACACTAATTTTCAAAAGGACAATAATACAGTTATGTTTAAACCTGATGTTACAGCATCATAGTCACCACTGTCAACATCTGCCTCAATACTTGACTAATCAGTGCTTAGACTGCACCCTTTTAACAAGTATCAGCTGGGGGTAATAACTGCTTACACTTAAAATTTTACTAACTTCTGGGACCCAGAAAGATAGTATAGATATACATCCTCATCTTTAATTTTACTGATACAAGTCAGAGCAGTCAAATGGCCTGTGAACGGGCACAGTCAGAAATACTCAAGTTCTTTACCCCAGGTCAGCCCAGGGTACTAGGGTCCTAGCCTTTTCTTTTCCTAGGAAAGGAAATTACTAATAACAGCGTATGACTGGCAAGTCCACAAAATTGGTTCTAGATAGATCTGAGATATCTTGGTAAACTTCAACATAATGTAATGCCCACGAGTTAACATAACTGCATCCAAATAATGCTTTTACTTGTGTTGTTCATCAATCCTAAAAAATATTTATGATTGGTGAGATTTCAGTTCAAATCAGGCTGTACATTATCTAGCCCTTCTAAATTAATTAATTATTGGAGGGGGGGAGGGGCAGGTAGAGCAGAGGCATTGTATTATTACAGATCAGGGAGGGTAAGATAAACCTGATATTGTAAGAAAAGTGATATTGCTCATGTTCTGAAGCTCACACCTCCTCCAACAGAGGGATCACGTTGACAGATGCTGAACCTCCCACTTCTACAAGGCTGACATGCCTACACTTAATAACTTCCCCATCCATTCCTTCAGGCTTTATGATTTTACTGTAGGATGCACCTTGCTTCAACTAATCAACTCTTCCTTCTGCCTCTCGTCTCAGCCACCACAATGAGCAGACCACATAGTAACAAGAACTCTCCATCAATGAATTTGAAAAGCTTTTATTCTCATGCAGAACAAGACATCAGAGTATGTAATATGGCAAACAGACCAATATTTAAAAGTGATCTGTCTTCTGACAGCACCCTTTCTAGATTTTAAACAAAGGTAGTTACCAAGCCACAGCTGTGTAGCATTTCTGACTGTGGTCTTGAGGTGACCTTCATCACCAGGTACTATTTTCAGCTGTGCATCATGTTGATTGTGCTGCCACCACAGAATTTAATTTATTTGTAACTGTGATTATAAGATAGATAACTAAATCCCTTTAACTCAAGGTCACTTTATCTATATAAATTATATAGGTATATATAATATATATACGCCTATATATTTTATATATACACTATATATAGGTGTATATACCTTTATATACATATATAATATCTATAATAGGCATATGTTATTATATTATTATATATTATACATATTATACATATGATTATATATTATACATATACAATATATAGGTATATATTATATATACACCTATATACGCCTATACACCTACATACAGTATATAACATATATATGCCTATATAGAGTGTGTATATATCTATATACACACCTATATATAATATATACATTATATTATAGATATAATATATAACTTAATATATATTATATATACAAAACACAATTAACATGTATAACCTGCTTTCCAAGAAAATTGCCAGCTCCTCACTACTGATACAAATTAGTAGTTTTCTGCTAGTTAGGGGGTCATATTTTTATAGACATTTATTTATAGAAGTAACTATACAGCTTAACAACAATACTGATAAAAGCATCAACTTCCAATTTTATTAAATGTTCTGAAGGATGTTCTTAACATTTGTTCACTCAAAATCTAACACACTTATTTCTGTCAGTCTATATTTTAATTGAAATCAGAATTTATTGAAAAAGAGAAAGAAAAAGCAGCATTTTATTAAATACAAAAATGTTTTTCCCCTAACATCATAAAAACCAATGAAATAACGGTAATATCTCTGGTTGAAATGAGTCATTGATGACCAGAAATACTGCCCTCCAGATTTCAAGAAGTTCTAGTTCTCCTCTTCTTCACTTTTATCAATACATTAGAAAAATGAAACCAAAATTGTTTGCAGTTTTGCATTAAATCAACAATTTAAATCACAGTTTATCATATTGCAAGTTCTCAGCTGTAACACTTGTTTTCGCACTTACCAGGACAGTAGCTATATTATTGGGAAATGCCTTTGCAAGGATTGAAAATGATGCTGTCATTGCTGCTGCAAAACCAACTGCATCCATTGCCCTTACTAAAAAGCAGAAACCAATGAACATTGGTCCACTTGGCACCTTGTCCAGCATTCTGGAAAAAAAACAGTAAATGGAGAATTCTCAAGATGCAACAAGTCATCTACTAAAGGCCCTGAAGCATCATTTCTTATTCCTTAAAGGACAGAGTTACAAGACAATCAATGCCTTCTTTTGCCAGATCTTTTGAATCACATCGGTGAAGACATTCAAATTCTACCAAATTATTTCTGGCAGACTTCTCCTTTTCCCCTTTCTTTGGTGATGACAAGAGCATGAAAAACCTAACCTGTGAACAACTCCAATGCCATCTTCTGTTGTATTTCATTGCTTTTCCAAGCACCTGTGTAAGGACTCTGACACAATGAATTACAACTACCTAGTAAGAGCTTCATTCATTGTTAATAAAACTTTTTTGCTAAAATGAATGGCTTAACCTCTCTGCCTGCCAGGGAAATCTTCTCATTTGCACTTAATATTTTTAAGAAAAGAATAATTAAAACATTATGCATAAATAGTTCTCTTATTGCTGTATTTTGACAGACTGCTTGCAGTTCATCAACTATGGTAGTTATCTAAATATGTAGAACCTTCCTCCTTTGCTTTCAAAGTACTAAACAGACTTTGAACTCTACCGAAAGGGAGAAGTGTTTGTTCTGCTTTACAAGGGATAGATAAAAAGTAAAGATGCAACAAGTTAAGTGACTTAACCAATAATTGAAAGATGGCCAACAGCTTCCAGTTTTGTTTTGTGTCTATCTTTTCATATGGATGAAAATGATTGGAAGACAAATGCAACAAAACCAGCCAACAAAAATTACTCACCCAAACAGAATGGTCACACATCCCGAAACAAACATCCCTGCCACAAACATGAATCTTGCTCCAATATGTGTAAGCTGTAAATCAAATACCATTTCCACATGTTATTATTTCAAGCCTAGATTAAAAAATCTTTCAAAGTAAGTTACTGTTAAGAAATCAAAACATTATGGTCACTTTATAGCATGTAACATGTAACTAAAAGATTTGGAGACACTGTTCCTGCCAGTGTGCCTTCATGCAATACTGAACCTAAAAATATTCTAAATGGTTAAGTGACTTAACCCAGTTTTCAGAATCGTTAAGACAGTGGTGCAGTTAACTGTCTCACAGCTCTGTGTTGCAGCTTCTGCAAAGCAGCAGTTTACAGTATCATCCCTCATTATAAACAAGCAGAAAGTAATACATTCCCTCTCCAGCACGGTTAGTGACACCAAGTCAGCAATACCTGTCACATACATGACTCAGAAGAGTCAAAGGAAGATGATTTTAAAGCAAATTTTTCACTATCTTTAACAGCACAAAGCTTTGGCCTATGAAGCATGGTAGCTTTGAGCTTCCCCACTCGCTACCAAGGAAAGGACCCTACCTTACTTCATTTCAGACTCCAGGGTGAAGGATGATGAGAGGCATGCTGTAAAGCTAACTCAATCCTGTAACAAAGTACATCTGAGCTTCTAATTCCATGCTGTAACTTCCCCTAAGGACAGCAGGTATTTTCTTGATCAAGGCTGGACAAAGTCCCTGTGTTTCAGCCATTATTACTAAAGCCTGTATTTTTCTGAGTTTCACTGAAACCCTCAGGATTTCTGACTGCTGGACTGTCCATCTCTATTGGTGCTCACCTCACCCATCTGCAGTGAGGATGGTGCACTCACTCCCTCTCTCCCCTGCAAAGCACTCGGTCAAAGTTGTGCCATAGCTGAATGCCATCATAGGCACTGAGATTGGATCTATCGATGGCATTTGCATGACACCTTGAGGAGCCACCTTGACACCAGAGAAAATCATTCACCCTGGGGTCGGCAAAGAGACTGCCCAGACAAAGAAATGGAATACTGTGAGACTGCAGTAGCCCCAGTTTAGGGTACAATCCTGAGCAGCCCTAGCCAAAAATGCATAGACAGCGGTGCCCCAGCATATAAACAAATAAACTGTTACATAATTTATTTGTAATTTCTCCAGCATGAGAAAAATCCTGAATCTGTGGGAAAACTTAAGTTGCAAGAACTGGAGACATTTATCTCATACTGCTGTATAATGAAGTGTAAGGAGAAACCAAGTTAAGCAGTGGAGAGTCATAACAGGAGGAAATGATAAGAAAAAGACAACGTATTAGAAAAGAAGGGGTGCAGCTAACTAAAGAAAAATCCAAACACCTTAAGAATGGTAACAAAGGCAAACAGAATATATAAGTAAGTACAATAAATAAAGCTGGGGGGGGGGGGGAGGAAAGGAAGTAATAGAAAGGAGAATTGATCAGCAGATTACTCTGAAGCAAACAGAACAGTTAACCAGAGAAACAAAACAGCTACGTGTCCACCACCCTATGCTACCCCCACAACTGTAGAGGAATAATTTTTAAATTGTACTGACAAGACATAGATCAGATTCAGACTGACTAGCCAGGCTCCAGTTATCGGAGACACAAGCCTACAGGAGTGCTACTGAAGAGACATCTCCCTTCTCAGACTTGGAGAACTATCTCCACGTACCAACCTGTGTCATCACAGAAATAAGTTACAGCTTCAATTATACTTACATATTTTCCCAAGATTAAAGACGACAAGAAGTTGACCAAAGCAAAACATCCAAAAATCAGGCCAACAATCGTGTTACTGGCACCTTTTTTTATTGCCTGAAAAAAAAAGATCACAACTGTGTAAATATGGAGGCAAATTCTTGGGATGAGTAATATTCATGCCTTGTACATTTAATTTGTTTTTAATTTGATACTAGTGCAGTTACAAAGCAATCTCTTATCTCAAAGGCAATAGGGGCTCATAAGGTAACACAGCAATCTAAAGACCTGTTGCACTTCTATTTAAGCTACATGTAATCAAGGGAAAAGCAGTGTTCATTCCTCAATGAATGGAAATACTGTGCTGTTTGCTGAACTTCTGAACAGGTGACCTGACTTTATACAGGTGGCTTCAGCTGGTGTGCAATGGAGCTTTGATACCTCGCATGGTAAGAGGGCAGTGAAGAGAGATATCTGTAATCTTCACTGTACGATTTCTCCCCATAACAAAACCCAGGAAAATCTGACCTATGCAACCGGCAAAATACACTTACCTGGGTACAAGCAGTACACAGGAATATTTAGAGCAAAAATAATCTTAACATTTCTTTCCCAATGCTTGGGAACAACATGGTCATGAAAAACAGACTTCTGCTGCAAAGGCACCATGACTACTTTATTTCATGCTATATTTAAACATTGTATTCACTCAGCATAAGCAGAGATTACTTTTTTCCCTTCCAGTTGCTAAGTCAGGAAGTTTAACACAGTGAATAATGGCCCAGCATGAGTTAACAGAGAGGTAACTATAAATAAAAAGTCACTGAGTGGCTAAGGCACTGAAATGCAAGTCCGGACACGGGCAGTTTTATTCTCAGCTACCAAACTGCTGTGCAACACTGGGCAAAAAATCTATTTCACTTCTCCAAGCATCCATTCCAACTTCCACCTCATTTCATTAATTTGCTGTCTCCTCTGCAGCTACGGAGAAGATGAAATTAGTCCATGGACAGGATCCAGGACACTGTTAAACACATACGCTAATCTGTTTTAGCCAGCATCAGGCTATCACTATGAATTCCCACAACTGAAAAGTCTAACTCAGAGTTTATAGCCCGCCATAAAGGTCCCACGGTGTCCAGGATCCTTTTAAAAGTTTCAACATGCAAAAATAAAAAATCCAAAGAGTAGCTGGGTAAATTGTTTGTTTACCTCTGAAGGGAAAAAGGGTCCCAGGATTGAGTAGCATATCATTGAACTGAAGTTTATAGAAGCTGTCGCAACCATTGTAAATAGCTGTTCTCTGGTAAGCCTTCCTGACTCTCACCGGCTGCTTCGGGTATGCCATCTCCTTAAAATGCAACAGGGCAAGGAAAATCATAAAGTGTTATAAGATGACAGAGGGAATCGCGATTTGCACATCCGGTTTGAAAATTAAAAGCCGCAGAAACCTTCTGCCCTCCCGGCTCCGGGGCTTGGCCGCAGGGGCAGAGCCCCCCCCCGCGCGGTGCCAGCCCACGGGCTCTCGCAAGAGCCGCCCCGCCGCGACCCCGGACCCACGTGTGCCGGTGGGTATGAGCATACGCCTCGCGTGGACAGCCCCGGCACTCGGCACTGCGGGGTTAAACCTCGGGGAGAAACCCGCCGCTGCCCCCCCCCCCCCCCCCCCCCCCCCCCCACCTCCACACCCGCTCCCCTCCCCAGCGCGGGCCCTTCAGCGCCGGCCCGGCCGCGGCCGGCCCGGTCACCGGCGGGAACACGCGGGGCGCCTCCCGCCCGCCTCCCCACCTGAGGGCTGCCCGCTCCCCGCCCGGCTGCCCATGGGGAAGCAGCGTCGCGCCCGTAATGGCCGGCGCGGCGCGGTGCGGGACGGGACGGCCCTGCCCCGCCGCCCCGCCTGGCAGCGGCCGCGGGCTGTCAGCGCAGCGGGGCCGGCGCCAGCCCCGGCGGCCCGACCGCCGCCACTGAGCATGCTCGGGCTGCGGGGCCGGGCGGCCGCTGCCGGGCCCCGGGCGGGCAGAGCAGCGGGCGGCGGGTGCCCGGGTGCGGTGCGCTGCCATGTCACGTCACGTCTGCCTCGGGGGAGCTGCTGGGTGGGGAGGGTCAAGCGGGGAATGCGGCCGGTGCTCTTGGTACGGCGGCGCCGAGAGGCTACGGGTGGAGAAAACCGAGGAGGTAGCGGGCAACGCTGTCACGAGAACAAGGGGGTACCTGCTGAATACAGCTGTGCCTCACCTGGGCGTTAGAGAGATGTTTCTGACAAGCAGGACGACCCGCGTTACGGAAAAGCCTCGCAGCCGAAGTGTAAATCCCGTGTATTAAATCAGAAGCTCGGAGAGTTTATTAACGCGACGTTACTGTGACTGCTAGGGACTGGGCGAGCTGGGGTCAGGCACCTAAGGGGTACATCCCGCTTCGTGCAGCTGAAGAAAATTTGGATGGTAAAGGAGGGAGCGGCTCCAGGGACTGTGCCTTGCCGCAGGTGACCAGCCCGACCGCATTTCCTGAAAACGCCTTCGCCCCGGCTCCGCTCTCTAAGGTTCCTCAGGGTGGCTGACAGTTACTGTAGGACCGCTGATTTGCCTTGTCAGCACAAAAATTCATCTGCTTTTCAAAGAGTTGTAACATCTCTGTCTTCCATACCAAAGGGAGATTCAGGATGGCTTCTTAGGACTGATACACCAAGCAAGATCACTGATCATCTACACAGCCTCTACCAGGTTACAGGATCCACAAAACAGTAACAGAAGAGCTAAGTGACAAAGTTGCCCCAGGCATTAATAGCTATAAACTGGCCAGGAGTAACTCAGGCTGGAGGTGGGGAAGAGGCGATATAATCAACACATCTGGCACAAGTTCCTAGTGGGAGGGGAGGAAAGCCTACAAGGAGATGAGGCATGAGCTGGGGACCTCTTTCAGATGTCACAAAAGGCAGACCACCTATTGCTTAAAGAGAAAAAACCAGTAATTACTTTGTAAAAGCACTATTTTAACTAGGCCATCAGTATTCCACCTAGTTACCAGTTATAATACTAAGATGTACGATAAGGACATTTCAGAGCAAATGTTGCCATGTACCTAACTTTAGAATCTCATACTCCATGTGACAAGAAAAAAAGCAGAATTACTTTCTTATCACATGATTAGGAAACTTAAAAACTATTTAGCAGCCACCAAGAACAACAGCCACACCTTCTATTGCTGAAGCCTATTTTGACAATATCTTGTATGTGGCATGTATTATGGCTGTGAAGTTGAAAAATCCCTAAGAATGACCCTGATCTTTTCCTGTCTGCTTCCAGAAAAAGACATAAACATAAATCCTTTTCCTGGATACTGTCCCTTGAGCAGCCTAACCAAAACAAAAAAACAAACAAACAAACAAAAAAAAACCCCCAAACAAACAAAACAAACAAACAAAACAAAACAAAAAAAAAGCACTTGCAAGTCATCCCAAGTTCTCAAAAGGATAATAAGTAAAAGGTCATATATGCAAAGTATGACACACAAATAGAGCAAATAAGAAACCTGTAGAGAGATTTAAATTGTAGCAGGAGAATAAAGTTTTCATTTTTGTGGTTAGACAGTCAATTATGTTCAGGAGGTGGAATAGTTTTCACTCCAACTACTTGCTCTTTTCAGTCTAGACTCTCACTCAACAGATTGCAACTACTTTCAAAACCTAGTCCTCCTCTCATTAATAATTACATGAGTAATGAGTAATCCAATAAAGCCTATGGAGTCAGATTTCCACAAAGTCAGTGCATGCAGTAGAAGGCTGAAGTGTGGGAAGTAGCAGTGATGCACTACGATCAGGATGAGCGATGGCTCCAGTAAGGAAATGGGGCTGTGGACTCCTTATGCGTGCATACAATTTACTTATGCGCTGCTTATTATTACCAGAAGATACTGGTTGATGGAACATGTTTATTAATTCTTCATATATTCTTTGTAAGCTATTCTCGTGGCTTAACCCCAGCCAGCAACTAAGCATCACTCAGCCGCTTGCTCACTCCCTCAGCCCCATGGTGGGATGGGGGAAAGTATTGGAAGGGTAAAAATGAGAAAACTCATGAGTTGAGATAAAGACAGTTTAATAGGGAAAGCAAAATCTGCACAGTCAAGCAAAGCAAACCAATGAATTAATTCCTCACTCCCCATGGGCAGTCAGGTGCTCAGCCATCCCCAGGACAGACGGGCTCCAACACGCGTAACGGTGACTTGGGAAGACAAATGCCATCCCTCCAAATGTCCCTCCCTTCTTCCTTCTTCCCCCAGCTTTATATGCTAGGCATGATGTCATACGGTATGGAATATCCCTTGGGTCAGTTGGGGTCAGCTGTCCTGGCTGTGTCCCCTCCCAACTTCTTGTGCACCCCCAGCCCACTGGCAGGTGGGGTGGGGTGAGGAGCAGAAAAGGCCTTGGCTCTGGGTAAGCGCTGCTCAGCAATAACGAAAACATCCCTGTGTTATCCACATTGTTTCCAGCAGAAATCCAAAATATAGCCCCATACCAGCTACTATGAAAAAAATTAACTCTATCCCAGCCAAAACCAGCACAGCTATAAATATCTGTTAACCTTTGAACTGGGACTTGCTAACAGACTGTCATGAGAGTTTTCCAAGTCTAACAAAAATAACTTTTTTAGAAGCGTACAATCCTTTCTTGCTTATGTCACGTCTGCAGCAACTTTAAAAAATACATCCTTCTGATCCCAAATCATATGTAGAATTCAAGCCTTGGAGCACTAGCCCTCTAAATAGTACAAATACAGTCTACATCCCTTGCTTATGTCCACAGGATAAAAACATATTAAGAACAATTGCTTTAAGATCAGCTTCCTTTGTGGACATCCAGGACATTCTGAAATGCTCAGCACATGTGGGAATACGTACCCCTTATTATTGCTCTGTGTGTTTGTAGAGATCTTAGAAATGCTTTTGCATTACAATCCAGAAATCACTTATCCAGTGCTTATTTGCATCATAATACTATTTCTTTTGCCAGAAGTCGTAGTGGCTGCACACAGGTATTTGGAAAGAGTTTAAAATGGCTGTAATGCAACCACATGATAACCACATCCTTTGCCAGCCTAGTGCAGAAACTGTGGACGGCAACAAAAACTAGGAAACTGTTTCGTTCAGTTATCATGACATCAAGGTCTTTCTCCTTTTCAAATCAGTATTGAAATGGCATAGCTTGTTCTCTTTCTGAGACCCCAGAATGGTCTCACCATAATTTCTCCAGGCACCTGAAACTTGACGGAGACATCTCTTGCACTCCTGAGTAGCAGCACGTGGTTGGCTGTTCTGAACCGTTACCTGGAGGCCCTTGGAAATATACACCTCTCCCCTCTCGGCTGGTGAGCAGGACTTCTGTGTCTATAGGGCAAGGAAATTGGTAAGAATAGCCTGGTCTCCCATCTTTATGATGCAGAGCCTTTTTTTTGGACTGTGTGACCAGGAAATGATTAAGATAATGGTTTAGGAAGAGTAGGGTGAAATGTACACCGGTGTTATTTCCAAGAAGGCTTCCAACCTGATGTTTCATAAGACTGTGAAATCATGTCTGTTTTGGAAGGAATATGAGATAATTCTGTCTTCTGACACTGGAAATCTAGTTGTAGCATGTGTCTGTGCTTTGTATTTCTAGAAACAGGTGTCAGAGGGAAATAAGTTTTGGAAGGATTATTCAGAACTGAAATTCAGAACTGACTGTTCAGAGTTTAGCAGAGTCATGAGCCCCTCTTGCGAGTTTGTAATACCTGACACTTTTGCCTGCCTACTTGGCTGCCTTGCCATGCCGTGCTGCTGACTAGTTTTAGTCATTACTTAGTTCCTGGGTCTGCACAGTTTGCAAGATGACACTTAAGCTATAACTGGAGTCTGGCATTTTGACGAAAAGATGGGTTGTGGTTGTCAGGGTGAGCATGGGGTGAAGGTAAGGGTTAGCACAGCAAGAGAGGAGAGAAATAACGAAAGCAAAAGGGAGCAGGAAGAGGATGGCTGAGACAGTGAACCATTATATCCTCACTGCAGTATGGCTCTTCTGAAAAAGCTCCCAAGTTCAGTTGCCATTTTGATCACCAGGGTTAAAAAGAGGAAGTCTGTCACCCTGGCAAGGGGGGAACAGTCAGGGAGAGTCAAGGTATTGTGTGGAGGGCACAGAGGGTAGTAGCTATAACCAAAGGATTTTTAAATATTTGCAGCAAGATGGTGAGTCCAAATGGATCACCCAGAGCAGTTGGCTGGTGAGAATCCAAATTATTGAATGTCATGTGACAGCAGCTTGTTGTTACTCATTCTCTCCCCAAATCCAAGTTAATAGACAGCAAGTTATGCTGTTTATAACATAAGAAAATATTGAGAGGACTAAGTTCAGTGCTGAGGCTGGCAGCTCAGTGAAACACCAGGCCAGCGTTTGCACTGACACCACCCCAGCCCTCTGAGCTTGCACTGCCTCTGGCAGCTCCTCGGTGTCCAGCACCGTGCTCACCCACCCTCAAGTGCACTAGATGTACTCTCTTAGCACAGGACTGTAATCCTTGGCTTAAACGTGTCATGCCCTGTGGCCGCGTGCCAGCATTTAAACTGCAGGATGCAGAGTGGACATTGTAACTCCAAGAGAAAATACAGAGGATAAGAAACAAGCTACTCCTTGTAGGAATCCGCACAGAAAGGTGGAGCAGGTCAAGTAGTGACAACAGTGTGCAGAGCGCCTACGTGAACGCTGAGCTCACATTAACACACCATGCAGTGGAGTGGACTTTCGAACAGGATCACACACTGTCATTAATTATTACATACAATTATGTACACTTACTATGCTATACCAACAGAGAGTTCAGTGCCAATGCAAACCTCCCCTCTGTACATATGTAACTTTTATCTTAGTGCTGCTTTGTTTTCTTGCAACTATGCTAGGAAAAGTGTTTTTGCATATGCTATTTCTGGAATATCAGATTATAGTTTGACTGTGATTATCACTATTGCTGTAATACGTATCTTTCAGATGTGCATAGTTCCATCTCCTGGACAGAATATATATTGCATCTATCCAGCGATACTGATGCGTCTTATGGCTGGTGAGAGACTTCTGGTTATCCTTTGATGACATTGAAGGAGATGATGGTTTATTGTTCCACTCAGTACAAAAACTCAATAGATTAGGCATCTTGGAGGCTTCTTAGGTGGCACAAGAGGATTAAGCGGTAGGTGGATATAGGGAAGAACATTCTCCCCAAGAGGGAAAGAAGGTGGGCATTCTCATTTGTGTGTGCTGGCGTGCTTTCTGGGGCCTGAGCAGGATGAAGGAGGTACCAGATCAAAAAAAGAGCATACAGTAGAAAAGGTGACTGACAATGTTGGTGACGAACGTGTTTGCATTAGCCACAAGCTATCAATATTCGTTACCCATTTTTGTTGTATTTTGCAACTAGGCATTTTTTACAAAGATGGCCACGTGCGGACCGCCCAACAGCCCAACTGTCAAGTCTTAGACAGGATGGACGGAGTCCCACGTCAGACTGACACCACCCGAGCGAGGAACACCTCGGAGCGGGGTCGGCATCCACGTGCGAATGCGCGAGCACACGCCACGCGGTCACCGCCGCGAGCGTCCGGCGGGACCGTGCAGCTCCGCTGGCACCGAGGGCGGGCGGGCGGGAACCGCCGCCATCCCCATGGCTACGCGGGGGCGGGCGAGGCGGCGGCTCAGGCAGCGCCGCGGACAGCCTCCGCGCCGGCAGGGGCTGGGGTCCTGGCGCGCTATAAGAGCGCGAGGCGGAAGGCCCGCCCCCCTCTCTCACTGGCGGCTGGCGGCGGGGCCGGGGTGAGTAGCCGCCATGGCGCCGGGGCCTGCCGGGCCGCATCCCCGCGGCCGGCGGCGCATCGCGGCGGGAGCGGGCCGGGCGGGGGCCCCGGGGCGGCCGGCGCCACTCACCGGGGCGGCCTGTGTCTGTATTTGCAGCAGGAACCCGGGCGGGAACAGCACCCACCGAGAGGGCCATGGCCGAGGAAGGGTGAGCGGGGCCGGGGGCCGGGATGGGGGGGGAGGGGGGCGGGGGCGGCGGGCGCGGGGGCCGCGTGTCTCTTCACCGCTCCGCGCCGGGCCCGGCAGTTCTCGGCGCGCCCCGCCGGCCCGGGCCCCGCCGTGGTGCTGCCCGGGCGGGAGGCGGGGCGTGGGGCCCGGCCGGCTGGGCCGCTGCGTGCGCGGCGCGTCTTCCCCCTGGCCGGGGAGCACGGGAGGAGCACGGCCGCCTGGCTGACCGCGAGGGCTTAATCTCTCCGTTTCCTTCGAGTTCACCTTCTTTTCAGTTTCTCCTTTGTCTTAGTAGTTCGGCTTGCTTCTGTGTTTTTTTTTTAACGGCTGGATGCTTGCAGGTGAACAGGAAGCTTTTGCTTGTAGTTGTAAGGTGTTGGCACCATGAGAGAACGCTCTCTGTCCTCCCTTTAGCATTACTGCTGGAGGTGTAATGGATGTTAACACCGCCCTACAAGAAGTGCTGAAGACCGCACTTATCCATGATGGCCTAGCTCGTGGTATTCGTGAAGCAGCCAAAGCCTTGGACAAGTAAGTTATGCTTCTCGTTCTGTCTGTGGTGAATAGCAAAACCGAGTGGGGTAGCTTGTGATCAGATATGTTGGACACATACAGTGGTCGCTTTGCCAGATGTTTAGTTGAAAGTTTTTATGAGACCATGTGTTCCTGCCAATTCTGTCTTGTGTTGTTTTGGGGTTTTTAACTGTAAACTTAAAATACAGATGCTAAACTCAGTGATTCAAGAATAACAGCACGTAATGTATTAGGTTCTGACTTTCTGTGACCCCAGTGCCACTGATATTTCATGGGGATCGATTTTGTCAAGAAAATTAAATGACACTCGTGGTATGTAGCTAGAGAGATCTGGGGCTCAAGAACCTTGTGTTTTATGAAGCTTTAAGATAAACTCTTCTGAGGTTTTAATTGGGAGGGCTGATATGTTTGTTAGACTTAACCTGAAAGAGTTGGTTTAGTTTTTATGAAGAAAACCTGAAATTCATAGCTTGCCTTTACTTTTTTGCTAGCTTCATTTTTGTGTGTGTGTTGCAGCTGTGAATAATTGCTTTGGTATGATATCAAAACAATATTAAACTTGTCGTGTATGTGCCAACCATGGTAATTAGTTACGGTTTCTTGGTAGGGTGAATTGATGTATACAGATGTGTGTATATATAGACATATGTACACACTTGTGTGTGTGTATATGTCTATATAGGCACATGCTTTTAAAAATGCTACAGTGTTTGGGTGATGACTTCACAGTTTGTCGGATACCCCTTCACTCGTTTTATGAGTGAGAACAGCAGTCTGACAAACCTGTATGCAAAAAGCTCTGAGACAAGGTACTGAATAATAGAAGAGAAATGCAACTTGGGTGATGGACAACTAATTTGTAAGAGTTCTCTTGAGTTCAGCTACAACTTCATACTCTGTCTGTTAAGACAGTGATGTATGTACAAGGTTTATATACATTTCTGTATGGTGGTTTTTGCTTGGAGAAATTTCTGAAACGTTCTGGTGAAACTCGTGATGAAGGCGGCCATAGAGAAATCTGACTTTGTTTGCAGTGGTCAGAGTATGTTAGGTTAAGCATAGAAGACCTACACAGCTCTCTTTGTTGTCAGGTATCCCTTTGGTATTAACATTGTACCACAGTATACAAAGATGCTAATTAGAATTGGGGGCCCTCTCATAACAGCTTCTTTGAACGTAAGTAGAAAAGATTGTTCTGAAGAGCTTATAACAACTTGACATGGAAATTCAAGCTTTTAATTACAGTTGTAATGTTAAATTATTGTAATCTGTGGTAAGCAAGAAAAAGCAACTTGTATCTTGGTTGCTTTCTAATACTGACACCAGTTATTTATGGGACATGGTGTTTATCCAGTCATTACACCTTTTTCTAATGGCTGAGAATTTATTTAGTCGGATTTTTTGAAGCTTCCAAAACTGGAATAGTATTTCATGATAAAGCTAACAACGTATGAGTAGTCTGTTACGATCTACTACTTTTTATGTTTTATATATTATCAAAAGTATATTTAGTATTTCGAAAGTGTATGGGGTCTCAGAAACAAAAGTTAAACTTAAGTGGTTGTCTAGAAATGTATGTGCTGAACTTTATTCTTCGCTGTTTTGATTGTAAAGAAAATTTAAGCAGTGTCTGAAGTTACATTTGTTTTAATTTTTTTTAGACGCCAAGCCCATCTTTGTGTTCTGGCTTCAAATTGTGATGAACCCACATACGTAAAATTAGTTGAAGCACTTTGTGCAGAACATCAGATCAACTTAATAAAGGTGAGTGTTGGAACTTCAGAGACAAGTTTGGAACAGATACCCTGCTTGCAATGCAAGCAGCTTGTTTCAGCATGTAGATCTGAAGCTTTGAAATACCATGCTGTAATTCTGTATATGGCTTATCTAGGCAAAATTTCTCTTTGCAGCAGAGATTGTAGTTCTGTGCAGTTGTCACAGAAGCAGTACAAAAGCTGTGGATGAAAATGGCAAAAGATGTGTGCCAGATATTTTATGAAGTTAAAATATTCGAATGTTTGTCCTGTATAGTAAGAGTGGTGCAAGTGACTGGAGCTTGGGAGGAGACTTTTTCCTCAAAGTAAAGTACAAGCTGTACAATGATGAAACTTTGGCTCCCTCTACTGATACTTATGAGGAAAGCAGCCATCCGTTACCCAATACTTCTGAGAGTACAGCAGCTTTTTTGCTGAAACCAGTTATGTTAGAAATGGCTAGTTCTGATGTGATGCGATGTTTTACACAGGTTGATGACAACAAGAAGCTGGGTGAATGGGTTGGTCTCTGCAAGATCGACAGAGAAGGAAAACCTCGCAAAGTAGTGGGCTGCAGTTGTGTGGTTGTCAAGGTAAGATGATGCTAACTGTGGCTTAATCCTTAATTTCTGAAAATAAGCAGTAAAGATATGGGACTATTAAATAGAACTTCTAAGATTTTTTTAAAATAGTTGCTTTCCATTGTTGGTAGTGGAAGTAAACTGCTTCCCTGTTCTATGTTCCATCTCATGTTTATTTAAAATGCTCATTTTGTGAGTTAATGGTTGTGTCCTTAAAGTATGCCAACTTGCCAGTGAGCATTAAGGGAAAGACCTTTTAACTAGAAAAGGTGAAGTTTTGCTGCAGAAAAAATGCCAGTTCAATGTGTCTGCTCAACCTGAAAATGTTTTGCAGACCATATTTTAAAATAATACTGGTAAAGTAAAGCCACAGTACGAGCCTTAAAGACTTGGTAGTCTTTGAGGTCCCAACAGATGGCTACATCTTCACAGTAAAGGCTAATGCCTTCTGCATATATTTTCATACCACTTTTGCCACTCTTGCACATATTTCACCTGACTTTCTTTAGGCAGAAATGAAGAATTTGTTTGGATCCATAGAAATGGGTGTTATACTTTAATGAAGTAGAGCAGTCCTTTATTAGAATACTCTTTTATTAGAGAATGAAGGGAAAGCAGCTGGCAGATTGCTTGAGGTTACTTGTATGGAATTTGGGGGGTATTTGGGAATGCCTTGAGAAAGTGTCAGTCTCAGTTGTCCTTTTAAAAATAGGCTGTAAAATTTTGGTTGTGTCTGTATGTTAATGGGTTATTTTGTGTTAACAGGACTATGGCAAGGAATCTCAGGCCAAAGATGTCATCGAAGAGTACTTCAAGTGCAAGAAATGAATGGAAAATAAATCTAGAACCTGACGTGTGTGTGTGTGTGATTAATGGGTGGGTACCTGTGAAATAGTTACGAGTTGCAGAGGATAGCATCAGAATATGAAAGGACTGTGCAAGTTTTGGTGTAGTTTATTAGTATGTTCATGGTCAGCTTGGGAAAAAGATAATGGCAATCCCTGCCACTGCTGTTCTGGGGTGCTTCTGTTTCCTGTTCTTACCCCAGAGGTAGCCAACTTAGGGAGCTTTGCACAGTTTCTCAGCTGTGAAAATGCTCACAGCTGATTATCTCTGCTTGGCAGTGCATAGGCCTGTACCTCTGCAGGGATTCTGAATAGCTTGTTAGGGAAGGTGAAGTACTGCTGCATCTGTGAGGAAAATTTGGCTCCCTCTGCTGAAACAAATGAGGAAAATGGCCTTAACTGTTACCCTAGTATTCTGAGATGCTGAATCTTTTAAATGCTATCTTAATTTATTAAATGAACTTACTTGATACAAGATGTGTTTTGTTGTTCCCCCACCCCAATTCTGAAGCAAATTGTGGGTGGAATTAGCTTCTTACAAAAAATAGTCATGTACTTCTAGATCTGGTTCTGTAGGAGTTCAGATCTTACCTCTTGAATGCAGTGTTGAGCTCTGATTTGCCCAGTGTCTTGATTTCCATAGTGGATGTGAATAGGTGGAGCTGGGCACCTGTAAACTGAGATGGGAATGTATCTCTCTAATTCTCATGCTCTTGAGCTTCAGTTTTCACTATGGTTTGTAACCCCTTTTCTGAGATCCCCAAGTCCTTTGTGTAGTGTAGACAGGCAACTTCTCCAGGTGCTGGGCTCAGATGCACTTACAGCTCATTAAATCTCAAAGTGTTTCTTGGTTCTGGCCCTGTCACAGCTTTCTAGTAGCTAGATTGGGGTGACTGAGAGGTTCCTGTAGTAACATTTTCAGGTGTACTTAATGGTGGAGTTATCTGTTCCAAGTCTGGTTAAAACCAAGAAATGTGTCCTTATACTGAACTTCATATATGTTCAGTCTTGTCTGAAATTCTCAGTGAAAGAGTTAAAGTAGTTTTTAGCATTTTAGTTCATGTCAAGCTAGTATTGCAAATAGAGGGAAGTTAGCAGAAATGTGTTACTGCTTTTCATTTGGATGTTTTTTGAACATAGTTGAAATTACAGAAGTTCAAGAAGCCTTAGTTGCAGATCTTATTTCATTAAAATACTAGGGGTTTCTAAACACTGCCAATAGGAATAGTTTCCAAGTTCCTTTTTAAATGGAGTTGAAGGATACTAACTATTGAAAAACTAATTGTCAGTTAATTAAGTTTGGCTAATTTTGAATATCGGATTCTCTTGTATGCAGAAGCATACCACATCTTTTGTCCTTAAGCTGCATCTTTCAAGAGTTCTGGATGAAACAGTTATGCTATCTGTTCTTCATATTTTTGTAATGTTTGCAGCTACATTCTAGGGAAAGAATTGTCTGAAGTGGTGGTGTTGACTGGTAGGATTTACCGTTTGCTTTTCCTTGGCTGGCTGGTCTATCACAGCTAAATTCACAAAGGGAATTAGGGTCCTAAACTGGAGCTCAGTACCAGAGTTCAATGCCTGTGTGTTGAGGTTGAAAATTGTTTCTTAATTGAACTTGTTCCTGTACCAGAACACTTTTTACTTGCTAGAAGTAGTAAAGTCCTCTTAATTCCTTACATCTCTGGATGCAGGGTAAAAATGTACAATCCAGTAAGCCCCTTCAGGGTAGCGGGTGAAGACTTTTAAAAAGATGAAGTCCATAGACTTGTATTACTAAATTTGAGGAAGTCTGTGAAGCCTGTGCAAACTGAGCTTTTCAAGATCTTTGGCTTTTTTGCTAAAATAATAGCACTTTTTTAATACGAAATGGTCCCTAACTAAGATACACTTCACTGACTACAAAGGAAGTTCAGACAAGTAAATTGTGTATGCATACTTATTTTCTGGATGTATATGATTGTGAAGTTAACCTGCTTAAGGTTTTAGGGCTATTTGTTAAAATTTTGGTTGTTTTAGCATGGGCAAATGATAGATGTTAGATTTTTAAACTATTTGCCATTCTAAGTGAAGCTTAATTTAGCTTGAGGTCAACTCATCATGGAAAATTGCTGCTGGTACAACTTATTTTCTCATAAATCTACTAATAGTATCTTGTGAAGCACTAATACCAACACACTAAAGTTTCAGAGGGAACTACTGTATGATTTCCTACTGGGGGAAAAAGTAGGAAGGATATCAGTGGAAGAAGGAAGAAATGCTGGTGTCCAGGTGAATTGTAACACTGAGGTGATCTTGAAAGGTAAAGGAAATTTTTACTCATCCTTTTCAGTGATAATAAAGTTGATAACCTGTTGCTTTAATAAAATTCTGAAGAAGTTGGCTGTTACTACTTCACCTGCAGAAGATGTGGAAGGCTGCTCACCTTGCATTGTGTATGTAATATCTGAACTTGTTTCCCTTCGCACTTCCCTCTATGGAGAAAACTGATTCAAAATAATATGCTGTATTGTGGTATCACTGGATTTCCTGTCCAACTGTAACACTGTAGAGAAACAGGATATGCTGGGTAAAGAAAAAACTGTTCCATGAGCATTCATGAC